GTATTCCCCTCAAGGATCCGATGAAAATTGGCAAAGATATGGATATTGCAGTGGGCCTATAAGTACTCCCCATACATTCCTCAAAATTCAGGGTAGACCCCCAGAAAAATGGATGAAAAATCTAAAAATATTTTCGCTTCTGGGTTTTGATGCAGATTGATGGAGAATCGATCTACGAATCGTTTAAGGTATTCCCCTCAAGGATCCGATGAAAATTGGCAAAGATATGGATATTGCAGTGGGCCTAGAAGTACTCCCCATACATTCCTCAAAATTCAGGGTAGACCCCCAGAAAAATGGATGAAAAATCTAAAAATATTTGCTCTTCTGGGTTTTGATGCAGGATGATGGAGAATCGATCTATGAATCGTTAAGGTATTCCCCTCAAGGATCCGATGAAAATTGGCAAAGATATGGATATTGCAGTGGGCCTACGGGTACTCCCCATACATTCCTCAAAATTCTGGGTAGACCCCCAGAAAAATTGATGAAAAATCTAAAAATATTTGCTCTTCTGGGTTTTGATGCAGGATGATGGAGAATCGATCTATGAATCGTTAAGGTATTCCCCTCAAGGATCCGATGAAAATTGGCAAAGATATGGATATTGCAGTGGGCCTACGGGTACTCCCCATACATTCCTCAAAATTCTGGGTAGACCCCCAGAAAAATTGATGAAAAATCTAAAAATATTTTCGCTTCTGGGTTTTGATGCAGGATGATAGAGAATCGATCTACGAATTGTTTAAGGTATTCCCCTCAAGGATCCGATGAAAATTGGCAAAGATATGGATATTGCAGTGGGCCTAGGAGTAGTCCCCATACATTCCTCAAAATTCTGGGTAGACCCCCAGAAAATTGGATGAAAAATCTAAAAATATTTTCGTTTCTGGGTTTTGATGCAGATTGGTGGAGAATCGATCTACGAATCGTTTAAGGTATTCCCCTCAAGGATCCGATGAAAATTGGCAAAGATATGGATATTGCAGTGGGCCTATAAGTACTCCTCATACATTCCTCAAAATTCATGGTAGACCCCCAGAAAAATGGATGAAAAATCTAAAAATATTTGCTCTTCTGGGTTTTGATGCAGGATGATGGAGAATCGATCTACGAATCGTTTAAGGTATTCCCCTCAAGGATCCTATTAAAATTGGCACAGATATGGATATTGCAGTGGGCCTATAAGTACTCCCCATACATTCCTCAAAATTCTGGGTAGACCCCCCCAGAAAATAAAAATATTTTCGTTTCTGGGTTTTGATGCAGGATGATAGAGAATCGATCTACGAACCGTTTAAGGTATTCCCCTCAAGGATCCGATGAAAATTGGCAAAGATGTGGATATTGCAGTGGGCCTACGGGTACTCCCCATACATTCCTCAAAATTCTGGGCAGACCCCCAGAAAAATTGATGAAAAATTTAAAAATATTTTCGCTTCTGGGTTTTGATGCAGGATGATAGAGAATCGATCTACGAACCGTTTAAGGTATTCCCCTCAAGGATCCGATGAAAATTGGCAAAGATATGGATATTGCAGTGGGCCTATGAGTAAACCCATACATTCCTCAGAATTCTGGGTAGACCCCCCCAGAAAAATGGATGAAAAATCTAAAAATATTTTCGCTTCTGGGTTTTGATGCAGGATGATGGAGAATCGATCTACGAATCGTTTTAGGTATTCCCCTTGAGGATCGGATGAAAATTGGCAAAGATGTGGATATTGCAGTGGGCCTACGGGTACTCCCCATACATTCCTCAAAATTCTGGGCAGACCCCCAGAAAAATGGATGAAAAATCTAAAAATATTTTCGCTTCTGGGTTTTGATGCAGGATGATGGAGAATCGATCTACGAATCGTTTAAGGTATTCCCCTCAAGGATCCGATGAAAATTGGCAAAGATATGGATATTGCAGTGGGCCTATAAGTACTCCCCATACATTCCTCAAAAATCTGGGTAGACCCCCCCAGAAAAATGGATGAAAAATTTAAAAATATTTTCGCTTCTGGGTTTTGATGCAGGATGATAGAGAATCGATCTACGAATCGTTTAAGGTATTCCCCTCAAGGATCCGATGAAAATTGGCAAAGATGTGGATATTGCAGTGGGCCTATGAGTAAACCCATACATTCCTCAAAATTCTGGGTAGACCCCCCCAGAAAAATGGATGAAAAATCTAAAAATATTTTCGCTTCTGGGTTTTGATGCAGGATGATGGAGAATCGATCTACGAATCGTTTAAGGTATTCCCCTTGAGGATCGGATGAAAATTGGCAAAGATGTGGATATTGCAGTGGGCCTACGGGTACTCCCCATACATTCCTCAAAATTCTGGGCAGACCCCCAGAAAAATGGATGAAAAATCTAAAAATATTTTCGCTTCTGGGTTTTGATGCAGGATGATGGAGAATCGATCTACGAATCGTTTAAGGTATTCCCCTCAAGGATCCGATGAAAATTGGCAAAGATATGGATATTGCAGTGGGCCTATAAGTACTTCCCATACATTCCTCAAAATTCTGGGTAGACCCCCCCAGAAAAATGGATGAAAAATATAAAAATATGTTCGCTTCTGGGTTTTGATGCAGATTGATGGAGAATCGATCAACGAATCGTTTAAGGTATTCCCCTCAAGGATCCGATGAAAATTGGCAAAGATATGGATATTGCAGTGGGCCTATGAGTAGTCCCCATACATTCCTCAAAATTGTGGGTAGACCCCCCCAGAAAAATGGATAAAAAATCTAAAAATATTTGGCTTTTAATGCAGATTAAAGGAGAATCGATCAAAAAATCGTTTAAGGTATTCCGCTTGAGAATCCGATGAAAACCAGCTGAGATATAGATATCCCTGTGGGCCGTTTAGGTCCTTCCCATACATCTCGACATTTCACTGGAGAGTCCCAAGAAAATATGACAAAAAATATAAAAATGTGTTTGCTTATGGGTTATGATGCAGATTGATGGGAGATCAATATAGAAATCGTTTAAGGTATTCCGCTTAAGAATCAGATGAAAACCACCTAAGATATAGATAACCCTGTGGGCCGTTTAGGCCCTTCCCCTACATCCCCAACATTTCACTGAAGAGTCCCGAGAAAAATTGAGAAAAAATTTTAAAATATTTTTGCTTCAGGGTTATGATGCAGATTGATGGGAAATCAATATAGAAATCTTTTAAGGTATTCCGCTTAAGAATCGGATGAAAACCACCTAAGATATAGATATTCCTGTGGGCCGCCTAGGTCCTTTCCCTACATCCCCAACATTTCACTGAAGAGTCCCAAGGAAAATTGACAAAAAATTTTAAAATATTTTTGCTTCAGGGTTATAATGCAGATTGATGGAAAATAAATAAAGAAATCGTTTAAGGTACTCCGCTTAAGAATCCGATGAAAACCAGGTAAGATATAAATACCCCTGTGAGCCGTTTAGGTCCTTCCCATACATCCCCGAAATTTCACTGAAGAGTCCCGAGAAAAATTGACAAAAATTTTAAAAATATTTTTGCTTCTGGGTTATGATGCAGATTGATGGCAAATCAATATAGAAATCGTTTAAGGTATTCTGCTAAAGAATCGGATGAAAACTAGCAAGTATATAGACATGACTGTGAAAGCTTCTGATTGGATGTTGATTTTTTATTGGATGTTTCCAGAAAAATTGATGGAAAATTCAATTATTATTGTCCGTTATTATAAAGAACTAGAACACCCCCATAGTCTGGAACCTTTTGAGGTTTTTCCATAAAAGAGACATGATAATTGATTCTACCCTGCATCAACAAAGTTAATACATAGATCAGAAGAGAGAACGTGGTGTCCCGTTTCGGAAGCCTTGCAACTGACACATTCCACACCAACAAGCAAATACTTAGACACTCAGTTTATTTTCGGGGCAAAGTTCAAAGGACACCTGCGGTGCGGTTTTAATTGCATCGCACGACACCAAAAGTGACAAGAAATCTGTTGGTTGCTTAGGACCGCCCGGCGCTAGGAAACAAAGTAATTACAAGGCCCAGGACAGACAGAAACAGAAGAGAACGTTGGAGGTGGGTAAGATCAAACCTTCAATTATGTGGAATACACTGACAGTTTTTAAAAATAACTGCATGGCTGTAAGTACAGAAACGAGAACATAACTGGATGTGAACTTTAATGTTAATTAAGTCAACTATACGTTAAAAAAATATGAAATAAATATTTTTACCGTGTAGTGGGCAGCTGGCCCCGGAAAAGGAAAACCCAAAAACGCCACAACATTTATTTTTTTAGGTGAGACGGGGGCGCTGGGATTTTATTCTATTAGCACCGTCAAGGAAATCGCATTTCCTAATAGCCGTGTGCCACGTGTCCCGGGAAGCTCAGACTCAGGGTCCTTGCCCAGTCGTGTGTCACAACCGAAGGGCAACCGCAGCAGCATCCGTCCCATTCCCGTCGCCGCCTGTCCCGGCAAACAATACAATTGAAAAATTATAAAAATTTCGCACTTTCCAAAGTGTACGGCTAAGGCAATCCCGTATCGAAAAACGGACGTCGTCCTTTTGCGGCTGCTTTGGGAGATACACTTGTTTTCTAACGAAAAGGACACGCTTAAGGGAAAAGATGGGGCGATTGCTGAGTGAAGGGATGAAAAGGAGGAGTGGTGCTAGACGGCCAGACATCATCAATATTGCAGAAGTCGCTCGGCAGATTGAGGCTGTCAAATAAGCGTATCTAATGCGTATTAAGTGCTCTCCATCCGGACTCTGTTAGAGGGTTGTCCTAAGCAAGCTAATAGCCGCAATTCATGCAAATGTGGTAGAAAAATAAAATATGCAATGGGAATCGGAAAAGTCAAGTGGCAAGGTCAAATGACAGTGTTATTAGAGGGTGGGTAATAGGGATACTTATCTGATTATTTTTTCTTAACGTGAACTTACTAAAAATTTATATTTTTAAAATGATGGATTAATTCTTTACCCCATGGCCTTCACATGAATGTTAAAAATCTTCATATTATTTGCGCATCTTTTTCTTTTTTAATTTTCAACCAATGGACTATTTTAATTTTATCTGTATCACATTGCTAACCCTAAGTGCATAAAATAAACCTAAAGCGAAACACTAAATCCAGCTTGAAGTAACAAAAAATGCATCTCTGACACCAATTATGGATGAGATTGTGTTTAGGAGAAATGCATTCCGTCGAAATTATCGCGGTCGTTTTTCACCATAGAGTTGTACTTCCACTTCTCGGCACTTGAAGCTTGACGGCTCCAGTTGGATCCTGATACAGTTGCGGGTCCTGATCCAGTATTCTGCTTTGAGTGACTTTGGACTTTTGAGAAGTTATCCTTGCCGGTGCTGCTCATGCACTTGTCATTTCGTTCAGTATAGACCATTTTTTCAGTGGACTTCCTACGGGGATCTTTTTGATGAGAAATTTTTGCCGATTACACAAGCTGCGCTTCTAATGAATTTCTGTGAAAGTTCAAAGTTCACGGTACAGTTTGAAGGAGGGTGAGCACTTTGAGTTCCTTATTGTTGGCCGAGTTACCCGTACGCGATCCTTTTTTGGATGACAGACTTTTGCTCAATCTGGAAGTTATGTCATTTAAATTCCTTTACATTATTCATTGCTCCAATACATACCTTGATTGCTTCAACAACTTCTGTTTTGCATCGGTGTTGCTAATTTTTGGCATTGACACACAACTTTTGCTAATTGCTCATCGAATAAAAAGAAAGGTAATTTCACAGCTCGCACTACGGATAGCTCAGACCAGCACTTCTCCGCTCTGTACTTTCTACTGAGCCTGCACCGAATCCCACCTGGTTTAAATACGCCGCTTTAATCTGAGTGCACTGCCTGACAGAGACACTACTTACTGCGTCATAGTTCTTTGGAGTAAGTAACGTTAGAGTCTCGCAGCAACAACTGCAGATCGGGCTGCTGAACCCGCCTTGCAGTGCGTCTTCCACCCCCAGTACCACCCTCCAACCCCACTCTGGACCACCTTACCAACTCCTCAGGTGGCCTCAGACTGTGTCGCCGCGTCTCTGTCTGAGACGAACCCGTTTAAGCGAACAGCAATGCAAATTAAAGCTGTAGAGCAACTGGTTTTTATCGAAACATTTGCAAACAAGTCAACAAGTTGAGAAAGTCGAATTTGGGAAACCCCTTTCAGAATTTCAAGCATTTTTTAATCCCCAAAAAACTGTTAGACGTTTTTATTAGGATCGTCGAGTCGAAAAAAACTACATACACTTCTGATAGATAGTGGTATAGTTATATCGGAAAGGGTATATATTCTTCGTCTCATAGTATACCATAGTAATTAGTTTCTGTTGTTTTTCGGTCATCTTTCGACAAACATGATATTTCGAATTTCGAATCAATAAAATTTGGACCAGCCGGCCGGTGATTTGAATGACACGTCATCCCAAAATTTAAAACAACATGTGAGCTGTACATATTTATGTACGAACAGACTTTTCCCTGAAATACCTTGACTAAAACTAGGTATTTTCCTACGCTTATATATATATTTTATATATTAATATATACATATATGAATATGCATGAATATGTGATCGGACGTTATCTGTATACAAATTTTATTATGCATAAGACGTCTGCTGATGAAAAATCTTAGTTGCATTGCATCAGCCAATTCGATCAAGAAAACAACTCTGTTGCCCGTAGCCGTATCATTTTAATCTTTTTTTTAATAAATATTCTCATTTTCCAGCATTTATGTTATATTTTCGAAAAGGGTAGGTTCAAAACCATATACATATATAAAAGTAATACATGAACATAGATTGAATAATTTAAACAACGAAATCAGCCTAAAAAAAACCAAGATAAAATTATGACAACTCCTTTTTTCAAATTGGGATATTTTTTCAAAAATTTTATTTTTTTCGATGTCGTGTTTTAATGTCAAAACTTTGCACTCGCCTTACTTATCGTATAGCCAATTAATATGTCTGCGGAATGTTCGGTTGATTCTGCATTATGCAAATGCGCCAGACACATGGCTCTATAATTAATAAAATGGCCAGACACAAAAAAAAGAAAGTAAAAAATAATAACACTTTGAGAGACAGGTTTTACTGAATTTGTTTTTCAAAAATATCAACCACGTCCAATTTAAAGGGCAGGTGTATATCGAACAGACACTTGGATGATACTATAAGATCCTGAAGAGAAACTTGTTAAATGGGTTGCCACCGACACTACCCCAGTTTGGGTGTTTGAATTTGTTTTCTCCTGACTTCGGAAATGTTTACCGTTTTGCACATCAATAGAGGACCGCGTGGCCAACTTAGTGTTACCATGATAGTCCCATTGACGCACCTAAAGAGGTAAACAAGAAATTTCGCTTATGTCTGGGCCGGTGATTTTTTGTCACAATCGACGAAAAAACTAGTTTACGTCCAGCACGCTCTAGCCGCGTGATGAGGTCAGCAAGATGGGATCTAAGCCTTTCGATATAAAAGCGCCGCCCTCAGCTAAATGTCGAACAGACTAAATCGTGAAGACTTCGCAGTCGTTACCAACAACGGTTATTCCCAAAAGACTACAAATATTTTTCCCCTTTGTGTAGCAACAAATGTGTCAATGAAGACACCGGACACGAAGTCCAAGCTACTCAATAATTTAAGGTGAGGAGGAGAAAATTAAAATGAAGAGCTACGATCAAAAATAATATCGATTTGTTATGTTTCTTTAACATTTTCAGTCTTTCTAAGCACCTGTCCTCAAAAAAGGGCGGCTCACGCACCAGTAACTGCGGCAACTGTCTGGAATTCTCTGTGCTCACGCGGCTCTCCAGTGTGCCCTGAACCACTCCGATCCAAGCTTATTTTAGCTCCTGTTGAAACTTAAAAACATATTTGTTAAAAATGGTCCACCAAACTCGTACTCCCAACAAGGCCATTCCAGCCAAGCATCTGAGTCCAATGCGAGCTGTGGAGGGTCTGGGCGGAAAGTACGCCGTATCCAGTAGTCCGGCAGACAGCTTTTTACGGAATTCTAGGCTCACGGTTCAGAGCAGCTCCCACAAGCAATCGGCAGCCTTCAAATATAACCAAATGGTCACCAACAATCGGGATGAATTCAACGCCCTTCATTTCTGCTAGGAAGACAAAGCGGCTAGATTCCGATTACTGGAGAGGTTAGAAGGGATGACGGACAGCAGTATCAAATACCTATTACCTGTCAAAAAATAATGAAATAAATTAATTCACAAAAAATTTTCCAATAATTAATTGTCTCATAAATCCAAGCAGTCACGTGCTGCCCGGGCTCCAGGAAATTTATTTATTGCAGAATTTTTTATTTTGCCATATTGAATTACCCCAGCTAAGCCTACGAGCATTCGTTGGCCTCATTTTTCATTGTTTGCGGCTGTCTGCCTCACTTTGTCATATGCAAATAGCCGACACTGTGCGTGTATGTTTGCGATTTTTGCGCATTTCATATTCCGGTTATTTCCATTTTGGTGCCATATTTTCACATTAGCGCCAATCAAAAGCTTTAGCATTTAGCTTACCAGGATTTGTATAAATCTTCGTTGACTTTCTGAGATTTGTAAGTTCTGTAGTTTAGGAAAGTCGAAAAAGGGCAAGAAGGACAATGCAATGCAAGGATTCAATGAAAGATTAATATTGGGAAAATTTTTTTTGTATGTTTTATGGTTTTATGTAATAATATAAGCGTAATATATAAGCCTATTTAAAACTTTGACCCTAGGTCACATAAGAAAGAATTGTTCCTTTGTTTTAAAAATAAGTTTAAAATTTTTTTTGTTTATGCTTAACCACTAACCACTTTAAAGATTCACCACCCTGTCGCACCAGAAAACCAGAAATCATTGGAATTGAGTTGGACAGGTATGCTTATGATAATTTTAAGAAAAAACGTGTTCAACATCAGATGTACTCATATAGAATCCGAGCAGCTGAAAAGCCAGCAAACTAGTTATGCCAGTAGGCACTACTCTCAATAATCGGCAAATCAATGACTAAACTGTTGCCGGGCCGCAAAAATCATGCCGCCAGACACCAGGGTTCCCATTCGGCACCCTCGCAATCAAAGGTTTTCGCCACCGAAAATGAGTGGGCTACACAGTTGGCTGACTCGAAAAATTAAAAGACAATCTGTTACATCGAGAGTGCACAAATCATCGCCAGCCACAGATTTTTATGCCCCAAAAACATTTTTATTATTCCACTAAATTAAACGCTCAACGCGTTTGAAGTGAGGATTGAGTTATAGCATAATCGCCGGGTGTGTGCTCTTCTATCCTGGGTATGTCCTGTTGCCGAAATTTGGGAGAGTGATGCGGCGACGGTCATTAAATTATCACACATTTAGCTTCCAAAAACAATTCAAAAATACCGCTGAGAACAAAGGCAACCCTCGAACCCCATCGAAACTGCTTCTCACCCTCGTCCGCAAGGGAACTTCTTGGGAACTTGGCTTTCACCCCCACATAGTGTTTTTGTTGCCCTGCCGCATTACAAGCTGAAAACATGGTTATTACATCAGTAAGTGCCAGACCATGGAAGGGGCAGTCAAGGGGGGTTAACGGGGGTTGCCCTGTTCTGTGTGGGCGTTGCAAAAAGGGCGATGGATGGATGCTGTCTTGGGATGATTATGACAGCATGACGACTTATCTGAAACGACCCATTTGCCACCCCCTTTCTCAGCTCTATTATGTCTAATTTAGTTTTTGTTTCTGTTTTTGCAATATGTCGACCATTAGTGAGTGAAGGGATCGTCCATGACGATAAATCATAAACGAAACATCAATTCCAGCACTTGACCCTAAATGGGCGTCACGTTGTGTCAGAATGGACAACGATATTGGCGGCTCTTTTACTAAATGTTGTTTTAAAAAAATAATTATTAAGCAGGAAAAATGCTTCCTTCGTCTTCCTTTTAAAAGCCACGAATTGCTCACGTGTCCCCAAATCCGTTGCAAATTAATTAAAAACCAAAAAGATATGGGGAGTGAGTAATTGATTAACAGACAGGATAACCCTTCAATGCTAGCTACCACATATGCTCCAAAGCGTCTTTCAACTTTATCTGTCACGCCAGCAGAAAGCTCCTACACTGACAGATAATTCGAAATTAAAAACTTTGAAGCTTTCTTATAAACAGATTGATATTTTAATTTATCTATTTTTAACATTCAAAAAGGCATAAACAAAACAAAAGGTTTTTAAGTTTTACCAAAAACTCCATTAATAATGTTAGTATTTCTTTCTCTTGCCTTCCCCGACTATTTCGTTTTGATGATTTATCGACATTTGTGCGGAAATCGTTGTGCCAAAAGCTAAATCGAAAGGAAACTTCTTTTCCAAAGCAGACAAGAGAGAGGGTTTTCTGGGGAGGGAGAAAACTGCAGGGGGATCTGACTTCAGGTATGTCCATGTTCTTCGGGCGGAAACGCACTGCCAAAAATAAATTGATTACTGTCACGGAAATAGCTACAGCACATATACCCGGAGCACTCAGCTCTGAACTTTGTTTGTTAATCGATTTATTCGAGAAAACACGAAGACGCGGGGTGAGTTACTCGAAAATGTCTTAGTCAAAAGCGTCAGTCTCATAGACGGCTTAAAGCAGAGAAAGCCAGAGGGACTAAGGTCGAGGAAAATCAGTCGCTGTCTTTGTTTGGCGTCAAGTTTATAGATCACGTGACTTGGTATTAAATAGTTTGGCCTGTCAATTAAATACACCTGTAAGTGATAGAAGCAAAATGTACTAAAGGGGGGGGAATTTTGCAGATTACAGAGAAACCGGCAGGCACGCAATGTTCACGCCTGGCTTGTGCGTGAAATGGTGAGACCCTTGATTTAGTTATGGGACCGCCATTACAAAATATGTTTAATTCGATTATCCAAATTCGACAATTAGATATTTAGAATGCTTTGGAATGCGACAATTAGAATGCTTTGACTCTAGTAATTTATCATACCTTAGTAAATATGGGAGTCCCTAGCTTGAAAACAATTCGATTTGTTCTATAGAGTTGCTAACAAACCTGCATTTGCAATAAACTTAATTTCTTTGTTCTTCTTTTCAAAGCCCAATATTCCCTAGGAAAGGACCAAGCGATGGATGACACAACTGTATTATAAACTTTCTCTGTATAATTTCCGCATTTGTCGAAATTCACTCTAAGGAAGAAACGGACTCAGGGTTATGGATACTTCACTTCAAATTGCACTTCCGTGCGAAAAATTGGTTATCGAAAAGTTTCGTTGGGATTTTCCGACAGTCTTTCAACACCCTCCGACCATCCACAATTTTTTATTCAGTCTCAATTCAGTCTGTCTGAATGGAACGACGTTCCGCCCCACTTCTTTTTGGACGTGGCGTGTCGATAAAGTTTGCACCTATTGTCATTTTATTGATTTGTTATAAATTTCACACGTTTGCGAGCGCTCACCCTAAAGTCCACACATGTGTACACTGCCTTATCATTTCATGAACTTCTATTAAATGTAAATGGCTGGAAAATGGCGCAAGCCCCACCCACATTTTCAAACGGACACGCGCCGTCTTAGGACAACCCTTTTGCCCGCTTATGTGCGAATTTTCTGTACGATTTCGTATCACTTTAAATTCCATTTTATTGCCATTGAAAAATAAATTACCTACAACAAAAGTGCGAAAAGTTATAAAGTCAGGGAGCTTGAATGTCCAAACGTTAAAATAAATTGATACCGGGAAATTCTTTCCCACCAACAATTTTACCAAGTGATGTTTTTCTTCTATACTTAGCCAGATGTTTATCGATATAAAACACCTTCAGGAAAATGTTTCCAAAGAAGGTCCTCGAAAAACAAAATGGTTTTAACGTTTAAAGCTTTTGGCTGCTCAAGCTGTTGATTTGATAATCTGGCGAAACTTTTCAGTTCTGAAAAGTATTCATAATTAAGTCAGAGTTTTAATGACGTGACACAAATATTAAAACTGAACACTTCCTGGTGAAACCTAACCCTCATCCTATTCATCCACCGCCTCCTCAGACTGTTGGCATCGTCCAGTTTGTTTTTGTTTCGGTTGCGACTGCTGCGCTAATTAGGCGAGACGTGGAAAATGTTGCTTATTATTTTCCCTAAATTTTAACGACCTGCGTTCAGAAGGATGCTAAACGTAGACCCCATTTGAAAGATATTTTATATGGTGCACCATTTTGAAATCAGTATCTCAAAAATTACGATTATTGTCAAACAGAAATTTAATTAGAAACGCCAAGAGCAACTGACGAAGTTGGGAGACGCTTTTGAAGAAGTGACTTTGACAACTGTTGCTAAACGTGTCCTACGAAGTCATTGAAAATTGTAATAAATACATTTAAACCTGTTTATGAAACATATTTTTTGTACCACTTTTAGTTTGGCATGATTTCTTGAGCAAAAAAGTATCATTATTTGAATGTTCCAAAAAGCATGTGACATATTTTCAAATTTAAATCATTGTGAAAAAGAAAACATCTAAAAGTATGCAAAGAAAATTGTCCTTTATAGTCAGTGAGGTCTTTCTTACAGATTTTTTCAGAAACATATATTTTTGAAATGTAAAAAAACAAATTGGAAATTCAAATTTAAAAGCCAGCGACATAAATAAACTTAGTAATATATTAATGGTATACGCATATTAACGGTTTATTGATTGAAACAATAACCATTCATTCATAGCACTATGGCTAGTGCCATCATTTATGTAACCTGCATATTCACCCAGCCCTTTTGGGGCCGACTTTTCTGAGACTTTCCCCTCCTCAAGAAACTTGATTTAGCAATCTAATGACCCACCGCAAATTGTTCATGACTTGCGGGGAGTATGTGTCGGCTTGTTTGGGTTCGGGCCTTATATATACATATTGTATATATATATATATCGGAAAACATTGTCTCGGCTAAAAGTAAGAAAATGCAAAACACCGTTGCAGTTTGAACTGAGTAAACCGAGTCGCTGTAACAGCATTCAGTTGATCGCAGATCGTGGCTGTATGGAGTTGCATTCTACCTTCGAGAAGGCAGTCGTCAAGTGGTATTACAATCCTATCAAATCTTTATAACATGATTTTGTTTTTAATTCGAAAAAGAGGACAGGTACAAGCTGAGTAAAATAAAATTCTATAATTGTACCAATTAAAAAAAATGTATATAAGGCCAATTATAATCCAATTAAAAATAGTTCGATATTGAAGTAAATAAAGAAAACTTGAATTAAATTGAAGTTGAGTGTGGATAACACTCGACGGATAACAAATAATACATGACAAAATCTAACCTTTAAAATAATTTGGCTTAATATCTTCTAATAGCTAGAGCTTTGAAAGAAACGGTCTTTCCTAAAGGTCTGCCTAATACAACCAAGTCAAAGTCACGATCTAAACATACTTAAGCAATAAAATCCAGTTCCTGGTGCAACCAAGCACCCTATCACATACAGTTGCATCTTACTCTTTTGTGTGGCTTCTACTTGGTTAATAATAATGCATCGGCTATGACTACTTTTTTAACTTAGTTCTTATATTATTTTTATGAAAAGGTTTCGATGATGCAGCTGTTATGTATATCTCTAGTGCTATTCTCCGTCGGATGGGAGATCACAGGAGCGGCCCAAATTCTGGGATTGTTTTCCCATCCTGGCAAGAGTCACTTTAACTTCTTTCGTCCCATTTTTTTGGCCTTGGCCAAAAGGGGTCACAACATTAGCATGTATAGCTATTTCCCACTTGAGAAGCCAATAGACAACTATACGGACTACGTGTTCCATGGGATGCCGGTTCTTACTGATATGGTGGATTTAAAGGTGAGTGAACTATTTTCAATTACAAATTTTCACAACTGGCTCCAAAATTGTTGGCTAAACAATTCCATAAACCAGTTAACCATAACTATTTCATAAAAAAAATGCAATTTTTCAATTAAGCTCCAAAATATAAAGACAAAAGCCGTTACTCAAATCTTGTCATTAAAAAAGGCAAACTGACAATTGCCCTCGGAAATGTAAAAAAGTTGTCTTGACTGCATAAAAATCTAGGCCTGTTGCAAAAATATTTAGGAAAATAATCGTAATAGTATTTATAATACTTTAACACCCATCTCTCGACTTGAATACACCCTTCCTTTCTTTGCACGCAGTATATAAGTCGGAAGGGCCGCGATCAGAATTGGGGAAGATATAGCCTTCACTATGGGCTTGAGAATTGGATGAGAATTGGGAAAGATATAGAAGTCACCGTGGACCCTATAGGGAAAAACCCTATTTTCAAGGGATCCTTCATTTCCAATCATCACGAAAAATGGAGAAAAAATCAAAAAAACATTTTGTCTCAGGATTTTGATGCAGAATGGGGGTGAATCGATCTAGAAATCGTTTAAAACAATCCCCTTAAGAATCCGATGAGAATTGGGGAAGATATAGCTATCGCAGTGGGCCCTATAGGGGAAAACCCCATTTGCAGGGATCCTATCAGGAAAAATGGACAAAAAATTGAAAAAATTCTTTGTCTCAGGATTTTGATGCAGAGTGGTGGAGAATCGATCCAGAAATCGTTTAAAACACTCCGCTTAAGAATCGGATGAGAATTGGGGAAGATATAGCCATCGCAGTGGGCCCTATAGGGGAAAACCCCATTTGCAGGGATCCCATCAGGAAAAATGGACAAAAAATTGAAAAAATTCTTTGTCTCAGGATTTTGATGCAGAATGGTGGAGAATCGATCCAGAAATCGTTTAAAACACTCCGCTTAAGAATCGGATGAGAATTGGGGAAGATATAGTCTTCACTGTGGGCCTTATAGGGGCAAACCCCATTTCCAGGGATCCCATCAGGAAAAATGGACAAAAAATTGAAAAAATATTTTGTCTCAGGATTTTAATGCAGAATGGTGGAGAATCGATCCAGAAATCGTCTAAAACACTCCGCTTGAGAATCGGATGAGAAGTGGGGAAGATATAGCCATCGCAGTGGACCCTATAGGGGAAAACCCCATTTGCAGGGATCCCATCAGGAAAATTGGACAAAAAATCTAAAAAATATTTTGTCTCAGAATTTTGATGCAGAATGGTGGAGAATCGACCCAGAAATCGTTTAAGACACTCCGCTTAAGAATCGGATGAGAATTGGGAAAGATATAGCCATCGCAGTGGGCCCTATAGGGGAAAACCCCATTTGCAGGGATCACATCAGGAAAAATGGACAAAAAATTGAAAAAATATTTTGTCTCAGGATTTTGATGCAGAATGGTGGAGAATCGATCCAGAAATCGTCTAAAACAAAACTAAAAAATATTTTGTCTCAGGATTTTGATGAATGGTGGAGAATCGATCCAGAAATCGTTTAAAACACTCCGCTTAAGAATCGGATGAGAATTGGGGAAGATATAGCCATCGCAGTGGGCCCTATAGGGGAAAACCCCATTTCCAGGGATCCCATCAGGAAAAGTGGACAAAAAATTTAAAAAATATTTTGTCTCAGGATTTTGATGCAGAATCTTGGAGAATCGATCCAGAAATCGTTTAAAACACTCCGCTTAAGAATCGGATGAGAATTGGGGAAGATATAGCCATCGCAGTGGGCCCTATAGGGGAAAACCCCATTTGCAGGGATCCCATCAGGAAAATTAGACAAAAAATTTAAAAAATATTTTGTCTCAGGATTTTGATGCAGAATGGTGGAGAATCGATCCAGAAATCGTTTAAAACACTCCGCTTAAGAATCGGATGAGAATTGGGGAAGATATAGCCATCGCAGTTGGCCCTATAGGGGAAAACGCCATTTGCAGGGATCCCATAAGAAAAAATGGACAAAAAATTTAAAAAATATTTTGTCTCAGGATTTTGATGCAGAATGGTGGAGAATCGATCCAGAAATCGTTTAAGACACTTCGCTTAAGAATCGGATGAGAATTGGGGAAGATATAGCCATCGCAGTGGACCCTATAGGGGAAAACCCCATTTGCAGGGATCCCATCAGGAAAATTGGACAAAAAATTGAAAAAATATTTTGTCTCAGAATTTTGATGCATAATGGTGGAGAATCGATCCAGAAATCGTTTAAAACACACCGCTTAAGAATCGGATGAGAATTGGGGAAGATATAGCCATCGCAGTTGGCCCTATAGGGGAAAACCCCATTTGCAGGGATCCCATCAGGAAAAATGGACAAAAAATTGAAAAAATATGTTGTCTCAGGATTTTGATGCAGAATGGTGGAGAATCGATCCAGAAATCGTCTAAAACACTCCGCTTAAGAATCGGATGAGAATTGGGGAAGATATAGCCATCGCAGTGGACCCTATAGGGGAAAACCCCATTTGCAGGGATCCCATCAGGAAAAATGGACAAAAAATTGAAAAAATATTTTGTCTCAGGATTTTGATGCAGAATGGTGGAGAATCGATCCAGAAATCGTCTAAAACACTCCGCTTGAGAATCGGATGAGAAGTGGGGAAGATATAGTCATCGCAGTGGGCCCTATAGGGGAAAACCCCATTTGCAGGGATCCCATCAGGAAAATTGGACAAAAAATTTAAAAAATATTTTGTCTCAGAATTTTGATGCAGAATGGTGGAGAATCGATCCAGAAATCGTTTAAAACACACCGCTTAAGAATCGGATGAGAATTGGGGAAGATATAGCCATCGCAGTTGGCCCTATAGGGGAAAACCCCATTTGCAGGGATCCCATCAGGAAAAATGGACAAAAAATTGAAAAAATATTTTGTCTCAGGATTTTGATGCAGAATGGTGGAGAATCGATCCAGAAATCGTCTAAAACACTCCGCTTGAGAATCGGATGAGAAGTGGGGAAGATATAGTCATCGCAGTGGGCCCTATAGGGGAAAACCCCATTTGCAGGGATCCCATCAGGAAAAATGGACAAAAAATTTAAAAAATATTTTGTCTAAGGATTTTGATGCAGAATGGTGGAGAATCGACCCAGAAATCGTTTAAGACACTCCGCTTAAGAATCGGATGAGAATTGGTTAAGATATAGTCTATAGGGCCCATCGCAGTGGGCTGAGAATCCATCCAGAAATCGTTTAAAACAATCCCCTTAAGAATCGGATGAGAATTGGGGAAGATATAGCCATCGCAGTTGGCCCTATAGGGGAAAACCCCATTTGCAGGGATCCCATCAGGAAAAATGGACAAAAAATTGAAAAAATATTTTGTCTCAAGATTTTGATGCAGAATGGTGGAGAATCGATCCAGAAATCGTCTAAAACACTCCGCTTGAGAATCGGATGAGAAGTGGGGAAGATATAGTCATCGCAGTGGGCCCTATAGGGGAAAACCCCATTTGCAGGGATCCCATCAGGAAGAATGGACAAAAAATTGAATAAATTCTTTGTCTCAGGATTTTGATGCAGAATGGTGGAAAATCCATCCAGAAATCGTTTTAAACAATCCCCTTAAGAATCGGATGAGAATTGGGGAAGATATAGCCATCGCAGTTGGCCCTATAGGGGAAAACCCCATTTGCAGGGATCCCATCAGGAAAAATGGACAAAAAATTTAAAAAATATTTTGTCTCAGGATTTTGATGCAGAATGGTGGAGAATCGATCCAGAAATCGTCTAAAACACTCCGCTTGAGAATCGGATGAGAATTGGGGAAGATATAGCCATCGCAGTTGGCGCTATAGGGGAAAACCCCATTTGCAGGGATCCCATCAGGAAAAATGGACAAAAAATTGAAAAAATATTTTGTCTCAGGATTTTGATGCAGAATGGTGGAGAATCGATCCAGAAATCGTCTAAAACACTCCGCTTAAGAATTGGATGAGAATTGGGGAAGATATAGCCATCGCAGTGGGCCCTATAGGGGAAAACCCCATTTCCAGGGATCCCATCAGGAAAATTGGACAAAAAATCTAAAAAATATTTTGTCTCAGGATTTTGATGCAGAATGGTAGTGAATCGATCTAGAAATCGTTTAAAACAATCCCCTTAAGAATCGGATGAGAATTGGGGAAGATATAGCCGTCGCAGTGGGCCCTATAGGGGAAAACCCCATTTTCAAGGGATCCCATCACGGAAAATAGAGAAAAAATCAAAGATATATTTCGTCTTAGGATTTTCATGCAGAATTGTGGGGAATCTATACAGAAATCGTTGAAGGCACTTCTATTAGAATCGGATGAGAATTGGGGAAGATATGGCCTTCACTGTGGGCCATATAACTGAACTGTGACCCTAACTATCGACTTGTAAATGACCCTACTTTGGTGTTTTCAAATTAAAAAGTTGGAAGTTAGTATAAATTTTATTTTGGTAAAAATAGCAACTTTAGTATGTTTGGAAAATGAATCTTGGGACTTTATTTTGAGTTTTTATTCTATTAAATAGGTTTTTTACTAAAATTCTAATAAGGATCGGCATACTATATGCGATATTTGCGATAAATATCCAATTTTAACCTCAAGGGTATATCAACTTCGGCTCCGCCCGAAGTTTACTTTCTTTTCTTGTTTTTTTAGAACTTTGAATCAGATTGGAAGCCTCTGGGGCTGCCCTTCAAGATACCTACATACTTCATGCTCCATGACTGGGGCCTTCGCTCCTGCAAAGTTGCCTTGAATTCACCTCTCATAGCGCAACTTCTGGAGTCTCCGACCCGATTTGATGTCGTGATCCTTGAGCACTTTTCAAACGACTGCATGGCAGCTGTGGCCCACCTTTTGGGGGCTCCTATGATTGCCCTGAGTAGCTGTGCAATAATGCCATGGCACTACAAACGCATCGGCAGTCCGTTCATAAACCCCATCATGCCCATGAATTTCCTGCCCTACACCGATGACATGAGTCTGATCCATCGAATCAACAACTTCTTTCATTTCCACGCCGTCAATATTCTGTACAAGTGAGTATTTTATTGATTTACTGGAGGTTCAAATTCGAGCTTTTTTTCTTAAAAAGTTGGATTACACAACCAGCCACGGACGAGCTGATAAAGCTTCGATTCGGTAATGGCCTGCCGCCTATTAATGAGATCGTTAAAAATACCAGTCTGATGTTGATAAATCAATATTACGCTCTAACGGGACCCCGTCCTTATGCACCAAATGTCGTCGAAGTGGGAGGATTGCAGGTTGGAGTCGAAATGCCACTGCCCCAGGTAAAGTAGGGTTGTATAAAAATATGTACTGATAATATATGTAATATATATATAATATGTTTTGATAATACGTCATCAAAAGCGGGAGACACCCTTATGTAAATACATATGTTTGATCATGTATGAAATTACTTAACTCATGAGTAAGAAAAATTGGTTTATTCCAGAGCTTTATGGATCTATTGGATATTTCTCGCGATGGAATCATTTACATAAGTTGGGGCTCTATGGTCAACCCCAACACGTTGCCCCCAGCAAAACGTAATGCGCTCTTTGAGAGCATTTCTCAGTTCAAACAGTACAATTTTGTGATGAGATGGAAAAGTGGCCTATCTCTATTGAAGGAAAAACCTATAAATCTCCATATTTATGATTGGTTACCCCAAAGAGATCTGCTGTGTCATCATCAAGTTAAGGGATTTATATCCCATGGTGGCCTTTTGGGAACCACGGAGGCAGTCTACTGTGGAGTACCGATGCTAGTTACTCCGTTTTACGGAGATCAATTTTTGAATGCTGGCGCTATTGAACAACGGAAGCTTGGAGTAATAGTGAACTTTGCAAATTTCGATAAAGACCATATAACCAGAGGCTTACAAAAAATACTTGATAAAGAGTAATGAAACATTCTTCTCAACTCTAAGCTTTATTTTCAACTAAAATAATTTTTTCTTAGATTCACAGAGAATGTAAAACGGACTACGAGGGCTTTTCGCTTGCGCCCTATCCCGCCCCTAGAATTAGCAGTTTGGTGGATTGAGTACGTAATAGAATCTGGAGGAGCCCCACTTATTCAAAACGAATCCAGGAATATGCATTGGATTGTCTATAATTCGATCGATGTCTACCTAATCTTTCTGGGTGTCCTCTGCCTAGTAAGCTTAGGACTATGGGTATTTGTGAAGTTAATCAGCAGAGCTCTATGTCGTTTTAAAATTGAAAAACCAACCAAATCAAAACAACAATAAATTTTAATCCTAAGTTAACAATATCATTTATAAAAAATGTTAATTGAAGAAAGGTATACTGGGAAGTTTTGATTATTACCAATATTAAAGCATTTCATTATCCATCAAAAGTTAATGAATTCTGTGAAACTCGGGTGTGTGAAACTTAAGTGACGTATGTATATTTTTATAATACATTTTTAAAAATGTTTTTAAAGCAACTTTTTTTAGACCTTTAGACTTATGGTACCAGGTACCACCTTACCATACATACATATAGGGAACGGAATCTTCCACAACCAAAATGACTGTTCAAAAATAATTAAGCATACATATAAATCACATATGTATGTATGTATGTATGTACCTACTTTCATACATATGGATGGGTTCCGTATAAATTCCGTATGTGGCACCAAAAACGAACTCACATAATTCTCCCCAGAAACAGTATCAACAAACGTAAACACGACGCAGACATGTGAGACCCCAATCTTGTTGTTTTTGTTTTTGTGTGGGTCTCGTGCGCAATGTGCCCCACTCTCTCCCACTTTTACTCTCTTTCCAGAGAATCTATATGCTTCGAGCGAAGATCAGTGATGCCAAAAAATACATATGTATATACACACAAATTTATGTGTGTATTATTTTTCAGTTTGATTTGCAAAGCATATAAAACAGCTGAAGGCGGCTTCTCATTACATTCCCAATATTCCCAACATCAATAGTGTTTTGCTGAAAATAGTAATACTTTTTTAGACAATATTGTTCTCTTAATTAAATACAATCAAATAAAAATGTAACGTCGTACAGTAGCATTTATGTATATTTTTGAGACTATTTCGCCAGACCTGGTGAGGAATGATTATTTTTCGATCGCTGAGAGTGCGTTTTTGGCCCGTCTGGCCTTCAGTTGCCTCTCCTATATAAGCAATCATTGACTTTCTGCTTTCTCCGGACCTCAGTCGCTCGCCGACAATCGAACAAGTAAGTAAAAGTGAACAGCACAACAATCGACATTTAAATTGTTGCTTGTATAGGAACTGGATAGAGTTGCAAGTTCAATTTTGGGAAAAGCCTTTATTTCAGAAGACTTAAACTTAAGAAGAAAGTGAAGTGAAATGTGAGGCGATTTCTTTGTGTATATGGGAGAGTGTTTTTCTTCTGTGCTTACACATACATTTTTTACATAATTTTCCCTGCATGTCTCGCATTTGCGACATGCGCGTTTCATCCACCGTGCACCAACTCAAGGTCGGACGGAAATACGGCAATGCACAATGCACACGAATCCAACAAGTGTTTGTTCTTAATTTTCACCCACTAAGTTCAGGCGAAAAGTATTCTGCTTGTATCTTGGTTTTGGAGATAAGAGATTAAAAATATTTACAAATTTAAGTAACTGAAAAAACTGACTTTTTATTCGGATTATTAGATAATCCTTATTTTTGTTTTTTTTTTTCGAAGGTTTCTTTTTGTTTTTATTTTCAAATTATTCAACAATTTCTTCAAAGTTTTTAACTGCTTACATATATTATGTCACATTTCGAATAATTTAAATTTTTAATTGATAACGTTTTATTTTTTCATAGACTATTATGTGGTCGCAACTGGTCGCCTTAGTTTTGCTCACCCATAGCATCTCGCTTTGCGAGCTGGGAGTGAATGCCGGTGGCTCTCTGAAGGTTCTAGGCCTGTTTCCTCATCCGGGAGTTAGTCATTTCCACTTCTTTCATCCAATTATGGAGGGTCTAGCAGAGGCCGGGCATGAGGTGAGCGTGGTCTCACACTTTCCAAACAAAAATCCGGTCGCACGTTACAAGGATTTTACACTATCTGGAGTGGACAAACTTACGAACAGCGTGGATCTGAAGGTAAGCACACCTTGGAATCTCCAAAAACAAAATCGGACATTAAACAATAATTAGTTTGATAAAGCATTTAAATCCTTAAGTTGCGCAAGCCTGTATGTTTTTACAATTGGCAGGGTCCTCTAAACCAAACACAATTATATTTATTTTATTAATTTTAGCTTTCATTAATAAATAACTTTACCGTTCCCCATAGTTCTTTGAGAAACGACCATTTTACGGTCACTTCATCGAGTTCTTTTTACTACACGAATGGGGTAAACAGGCGTGCAACTCAACACTGCGTTCGGATGCACTGCAACAGGTTTTAAAGCGCCGTCCAGGATACTATGATGTTATCATTATAGAGCAGTTCAACACGGACTGCATGATGGGTGTGGCTCACCAGTTGCAGGCTCCAGTGATTGCCCTTAGTAGCTGTGTAATGATGCCATGGCATTTTGAAAGAATGGGCGCTCCTATGATTCCATCCCACGTGCCGGCTCTTTTTATGGCCCAATCACAAAACATGGACTTTGGAGGACGCCTGGCAAATTGGTTCAGCACTCACGCGTTGAATTGGATGTACAAGTGAGTGGCCATTTTTTCTACCAGCTGATTTTATCTAATCCATTACTCGTTTTCATTGAATTATAGGTTACTATCTGTGCCCGCAGCGGATGCCCTGGTTCAATTTAAATTCGGACACGATGTCCCCTCAGTGGGTGAGCTTGCAAAAAATACCTCCGTGTTTTTTGTGAACCAACACTATTCGCTGAGTGGTCCAAAGCCGTTGCCTCCAAACGTGATTGAGTTGGGTGGTATTCACATACAGAAATCTAAACCTCTGCCGGCCGATTTGCAACGCATCTTAGATAGCGCAGAGGAGGGGGTCATCTTAATTAGCTGGGGCTCTATGATCCGCGCCAATTCCTTATCTGATGCCAAAAGAGATGGAATTGTTCGAGCAGTGGCGCGGTTGAAGCAGCAGGTGATCTGGAAGTGGGAAAACGAAACCCTGCCTAATAAGCCACAGAACATGCACATTATGAATTGGCTACCCCAGAGGGACATCCTTTGTCACCCCAACGTAAAGGTATTTATGACCCATGGTGGACTTATGGGCTCTTCCGAGGCCGCTTATTGCGGAGTTCCGGTGGTAGCTACGCCCATGTACGGAGATCAGTTTGTAAATACTGCTGCCATGGTGCAAAGGGGAATGGGAATTATACTACATTTCGAAGACATTGGCGAGAATACCGTGATGCGGGCCCTGAAAAGAGCATTGGAAAAGAAGTAAGTACCTAAATAAATTAATAATTATATATGTAATTACATAACTAACAACTCTGTAGGTACTATGAGGCCGCAAAGTCTGTTTCTCACGCCTACAACCACCGCCCACAGCAAGCTCTTCACACCGCCCTTTGGTGGGTTGAGCACGTAGCCCACACTAAAGGTGCTCCTCTCCTGAAATCCAGTGCCGTCGAGATGTCGCGATTCGTTTACTATTCCCTGGATGTTTATGCCTTTCTTTTGGTTGTCTTCGTCATCATAATTGCCAGTTGGGTATGGCTCATTCGACGCATCTGTGGGTCAAAAGCTGCCAAAAAGACAAAGCAAGATTAGCAACGTTGCGATTTGCTTATTTGTGGTGTATGTGATATTTTAAATGATTGTGTAAGAAACTCTTAAGTGTATAGACGCCAATCCTCTCATGCTTGCTGCATGCAATAGTCCTTAAATTGGATCTAAAAGTTTCTTAGGATTTTGAAGTTACTTATTTTTGTCATCAGTTAGAACAAGTTAGTTTCTTTTAGTTTGTGCTACACTATCAATACTAGTGTAATTTTTATAATAAAACTCTGCTTCTACGGACTTGAATTTGCGATGAATTATGGCATTTCTACATTAGTTTTGGGAAGACATTACCATATGTACCTTTTTGCATGTAGCTCTGGAATCGATAAGATTTCTTGTGTCAAACTACCTTTTATGCTAAAAAATTAAAGCCCTATGAATTTGACTGTAGTACTTCTTTAGTGTTCAAGCAGCGAACCACTAATTCCATGTACAAAATTGCATATGCCGAATTTCCTTACGCCGATCCATCGCTCCCAAATTACGAATATTTTTTGACTTTGGCTTACTGCGGCTTTACTTGGCGGAAAGTCATAAAACTGCAAACACAAAAGGTTGTACCCACCCTCCAAAGGACTAAACAAAATAAGTTAAAAACAATTATGAAATATTGCACATTTTATAAAAATATTTACAAGAAATCTTTAATTTACAACTTGGCACGAGAAGAGCCAGGAAAACCTAAACGGTAAAGAGCAACCACCACGGCTCCACCCAAGCCCAGGTTGTGCTGCAAAGCCAACTTGGCGTTGGGGACCTGACGCTTTTCTGCCAGGCCGCGCACCTGCCAACAGAGCTCGGCACACTGAGCTAGACCAGTGGCTCCAAGGGGATGCCCCTTCGAAATAAGACCTCCACTGGGGTTGACCACAAACTTTCCACCGTAGGTATTGTCTCCTCGGTCGATAAAGGCTCCAGCCTCGCCCTCTCCACATAACCCAAGAGCCTCGTAAGTAACAAGCTCATTTGCAGAGAAGCAATCGTGCAGCTCCACTACCTGTACATCCTGAGGCTTATAGCCACTCTTCGCAAACAGTCTTTGGCTAGCCAGGCGGGTCATGTCGTAGCCTGCAATCTTCATAAGGCTCTTGTCGGCAAACGTTGATTCCGGGTCACTGGCCATCTCCATGCCCACGATCTCCACGGCTTGTTTCTCCAATCCGTGACGTCGGACGAACGCCTCGGATGCCAGTATGGCTGCTCCAGAACCATCGGAGGTGGGGCAACACTGAAGCTTGGTCAGAACGCCTTCCACCACTTGTGGCGACTTCATAATCTGCTCCAGGGTATACTCATCGCGGAATTGCGAGTATCTGAAACCAAGAAACGGAAATGTAACAACCACGCCTTTCGGAAGAGCTAAGTTTTCAACAACGATCGGATTGCGTGGTGGTATTTGCTTGATCTACTTATTCTCACGATGATAAGATAAGCCTGTGTGCGCGATGAACTTTCGACTGAACTTACGGATTATTGACGGAATGCTTGTGGTTCTTCCATGCAATTTTTCCGAAGTGCTCGGGTTTGGTTCCATATTTCTTCATGTGCTCCTTGCCAGCGTTGCCAAAGATTTGGGCAGCCATTGGTCCGGGTCCGATTTCGGTCAGTTCGCTCATCTCGGTGATGTGGCGCTCCATGGGATTAGCACGGTCGAAGTACTTTTGAATAAAAAAGCTCAAAGGTCAAACCATTTTAACAAGGGTTAAAGAAACTCACCTTTGAAGAGAGGGATCCTCGTTCCATTTTTTCAAAACCTAATGCCAGCACGCAGTCCGTGTTTCCGCTCTCGATAATCTGCTTAGCCAGGTAAAGAGCACTCGATCCCGTGGAGCAGTTGTTATTTACATTGTAAACGGGGATACCTGTCATACCCACTTCGTAAATGGCGCGCTGACCGCAGGTGGAGTCTCCGTAGACATAGCCAGCCACCGCCTGCTGCACTTCCTCGAACTTGATCCCCGCATCATTTAAAGCCTTGGTAATAGCTTCTTTGGCGAAATCAGGGTAGCAAACGTCAGCTCTGCGGCCGGGCTTCTCAAACTACGATGAATTGTAGGGAAGTTAGTGATAGACAAGAAGCCGTGCAAAGGTCAATATCTAATAACGAACCTTGGTCATGCCCACACCGATAACGTAAACTCTGTTCTTTGCCATGTTTTGGCTGGTTCTTTAATACATCTGTGCCGGACTTCTCAAAACGACTGAAATCAATCCACCGGCTAAGAGTCTTTATACAATGCGATATGATACCGACAGTGCTGAAAATTTGGCTATTTACAGGCAGCATTTTTTCATTTATACCAGTTGGCACTCATCGTCTTCATGCTAGAAAAAATCAAAGCTTGAAATTAAATTATTAATTAAAGGAGTAAATTATTATTCGGATTCAAATAATAATTTCAACTCCTCATTTCAACTGTCATAAAAATTTGGATTTGTTTTGTTTCTGGTTCTGTTAAAATGTTAAAGTGCTGTTAATGCACTCTGTTACTTTGGAGTCAGCTGGGTGAACTTGTTTATTGACTAGTTCTGGTATCGATAATATGTTCACATATAAATATACTAATATGTATACTTTCCCTGCTCTCAGTCAGGTGTCTATTTTTTTGTATGCATAGTGAATTGGTCTTTATCTGGTGTACCATATAAAAAATCTCCATATTCATTTTCTATAAATGAAGGTCCGATAAATGAAGGTGCTATAATCAAATTGTGAAATTCGAATTTGAGTTAGTATCCCGCCTTTAACACCGTCTGTTTAATTTTCCCAGCACTAGTTTTTCAACGACCGTGCAAATTTTCCAACACTAGTAGGGAAATTATTTTTAAACAGCAACAACTCTATTTCGCGTCTGTTTTAATTTTCTTGTTTGTCTAAGCACTAGGTGCAATTTAAAAGTGCTTGTTATACTAACTAAGTTGACCATTTAAGCAGCAAAATGACGAAAAACCGAGTTTACGTTGTCGGTGTGGGCATGACCAAGGTGTGTAATACAGTATAAAAAAGGTGCTGGCCAATCAAACAAAGAAATAGGGTCCATGCCAAATCTGTTGTAAAAACAAGTTTTGCAAGCTGGAGACAATTAAACTTCAAGAAGTTGCGCATTAAAAGCCATTATCGCCTCGGACTTTGGCCTACGATGCACTTCGCCCCCTAATCCAATTTTCTTTGAGCAAGTGGCTCCACATCCATTAAACTCGGTCCGCTTATCAGCGGTGCTACCCGGCCCTTGAAGTGGTGCGATTATAATTTTAATTTTAATGCATACTTCTCTTTTCAAAGTTTGGGCTTTTAAAATATATATTTAATAATATATATATATATATACATATATTTATTTTATTATTCAAATTTACCTATTTAAATTGCGCCATTAATTCAAGAGCGAACAGGTAGTATTATAATTATTTGTATAATTAAAATCTCGTATTTTTTTAGTTCGAGAAGCCCGGTCGCAGAGCGGAAGTTTGTTACCCAGATTTTGCAAAGGAAGCTATTACCAAGGCTTTAAATGATGCGGGGATCAAGTTCGAGGAAGTGCAGCAGGCGGTGGCTGGCTATGTCTACGGAGACTCCACCTGCGGTCAGCGCGCCATTTACGAAGTGGGTATGACAGGTATCCCCGTTTACAATGTAAATAACAACTGCTCCACGGGATCGAGTGCTCTTTACCTGGCTAAGCAGATTATCGAGAGCGGAAACACGGACTGCGTGCTGGCATTAGGTTTTGAAAAAATGGAACGAGGATCCCTCTCTTCAAAGGTGAGTTTCATTAACCCTTGTTAAAATGGTTTGACCTTTGAGCTTTTTTATTCAAAAGTACTTCGACCGTGCTAATCCCATGGAGCGCCACATCACCGAGATGAGCGAACTGACCGAAATCGGACCCGGACCAATGGCTGCCCAAATCTTTGGCAACGCTGGCAAGGAGCACATGAAGAAATACGGGACTAAACCCGAGCATTTCGGAAAAATTGCGTGGAAGAACCATAAGCACTCCGTTAATAATCCGTAAATACTTCGCACAAGTACTTTAAATCAAACCTTTATTTAATATTAGACTTCCCACCGTTAAGCTACTCGCAATTCCGCGATGAGTATACCCTGGAGCAGATTATGAAGTCGCCACAAGTGGTGGAAGGCGTTCTGACCAAGCTTCAGTGTTGCCCCACCTCCGATGGTTCTGGAGCAGCCATACTGGCATCCGAGGCGTTCGTCCGACGTCACGGATTGGAGAAACAAGCCGTGGAGATCGTGGGCATGGAGATGGCCAGTGACCCGGAATCAACGTTTGCCGACAAGAGCCTTATGAAGATTGCAGGCTACGACATGACCCGCCTGGCTAGCCAAAGACTGTTTGCGAAGAGTGGCTATAAGCCTCAGGATGTACAGGTAGTGGAGCTGCACGATTGTTTCTCTGCAAATGAGCTTGTTACTTACGAGGCTCTTGGGTTATGTGGAGAGGGCGAGGCTGGAGCCTTTATCGACCGAGGAGACAATACCTACGGTGGAAAGTTTGTGGTCAACCCCAGTGGAGGTCTTATTTCGAAGGGACATCCCCTTGGAGCCACTGGTCTAGCTCAGTGTGCCGAGCTCTGTTGGCAGCTACGGGGTTTAGCAGAGAAGCGTCAAGTGGCCAACGCCCAATTGGCTCTGCAACACAACCTTGGTCTTGGTGGAGCTGTCGTAGTAGCGTTATATAGGCTGGGCTTTCCCGCTGCCAACAGTGTGCTGCGTAATCTGACGGCTGCCACCAAGGCTGCCACTAGTGAAGAAGGTTTCAAGGTAGCACCACTTTTAAAGCTATTGGAGCAAGCGATGCAGGAGGACAAAGACAATCTTATTGAGAAGGTGCGTGCTATATACGGCTTTAAGGTGAACAACGGCCCCAACGGTCAGACAGGATTTTGGGTAATTGATGCAAAGCAAGGCAAGGGCAAGATCATCTTTAACGGAACTCGTAAGGTTATTTAAAAGAGTTATGTAATACTTTAAGTCTAATGAATGAATCTTTATTCAATTTTTAGAAAAATGCGATGTTACCTTTATAATTAGCGATGATGATGTCTTCGAACTGCTCACTGGCAAGCTCCCGCCGCAAAAAGCCTTTTTTCAGGGTAAGATCAAGATTCAAGGCAACATGGGTTTTGCTATGAAACTGATGGATCTCCAACGCTCAGCTCAGGGAAGAATTGAAGAGCTGAGGTCGAAGCTGTAGATCGTTATGGTCTTGTATATTTTTATGGCCCTGGACAGGTTAAATAACATTTTTATGCAGCATTCTTACTATATTTGTATTCATGACAGAAAGTGGAAAGATACGAATAAAGATACGTTTTTGGTTTTTTTATTATTCCTCAAATAAATTTTACCATGTTATGAATTAAAATGTAAAAGTACGAAGTATTGAATTATTTTCACTTATTTTTTCGGGCCTACATATTAAAAATGCTTGAAAATAGTAAGTAAATATACAAATTTATAAATTAAAAAAACATATATAAACAGGATCGAATATAAATTGCAAACATCGGATACAGTTAGGCAATCTTCACAAAAAATCTTATACAACCAATGAAATTGTATTTTTTATTGATTGATTACCCTATTAAACTCTAAAGAGTTCTTCAGATTTTAAATGGAAATTTATGAAGTATCGATCTGAGTAAATTTACTTAGTGCGCTTAAACAGCGGATGAAAACTGGCAAAGATTCGGACATGTTCATTGAGATTCGCCAGAAAAATTTACTTCAAATCTACAAGTATTCTTTAAATAGTAAATATTAAATTAAGGATCAGATGAAAACTGGCAAAGGAGCCCAAATCACAAGTTGAGTCATCAAATTCGGAACTAGTCAGTCACCAAATAGATTGTTTAGCTGGTTCTAAACTACCAGACCGCCTTAGTCTCTGCTACCAAATGATTTATACCTCCTTTAAGCGATTGCACACTCAGCAATATATTAAACAAAAGATTTTTTTTGTACATATTTTTACGTAGAAGCCATTAACGCTAACTAGGCAAAGCTACTCTAGCGGAATTTAAATTTTGAATGGCTCCTATCGAGAATACGGTCTTTCTGACGATAACGATTTTTAACAAAAAAAAAATAAAACAATCGATAATTTTGTTAGAGGTGAAACTTTGCTCTTATGACATCTGGCAGCACCGTAAATATTATTTGCTAGAACAAAAAGCGCAAATTGCGAATTTTCGGTAGAGCTACAAAATAATTCAAGCAACCGCAAATGACTAGCAGCGTACTACGAACATTGCGAAGCCGATCAAATTGCTAGACGGAGCATTAGACAAACGGTGTGCAAAAAGTCACGTAGGCTGATCGATAATCAAGCAGACGCACCAACACCCACACACATACACATGGAAATCCAACGAGGAGAAAGAGAAAATAATGTAGAATTGGCTGCCGGCGGGGCGGATTTGGTCAAGGAGTCGCAGGAAAATTCGAGTAAAGAAGTAAGAGAAGTGGATGTAATGGCTAAGGAACTGAGCACGCACGATAAAAAATCAGAATTAAAGGGAAATGAAGCGTCGGTGGTGGGGGAAAACAACAACGCAGATGCCCGCGGAAATGCCACTGCAGCACTAGAAACAACAACTACAAGCACAGAGCCCCCCCAAGCCAACAACAGTTCGCACACACAAAAACAACAACTGCAGTCAAGCAATGGGAATGCACAGCAAACAACAACAATGGAAATCGGAGGGACTGCAATAGCAAAAAAAACAAAAGATGACATTGTAGAAGAGGAAAAAATAACAGCAGTAGCGGAATCAAAAACAAGCATGGGCGAAAAGACAGGTAAAGTAAATAGAATTTTGAAGAAAACAAACTCGATGCCAATAAATGTATTTTCCTTTTGGCCTCGTTCATTGTACATTCATAAAGAGGAACGCAACCATAAAAAGAAGAAAAAAGATAAGGAACGCGAGAGAGATGAAGATAAGAGCAGTCGTCACAGCGGCAACTTTGTCAGCGTTGGGAGCAGCAAGGATTGGGATCGGGATCGGGAAAGGGACAGAGAACGGGACAGAAACCGCGAAAATAGCTTCAATGCCACTAAGGAAGGCGACTATAAATCCAGTTCCTCCCGCAAAAAGGAGAAGTATCATCGCAGCGACAGGGATCGAGAAAGGGAGAAAGAGCGGCAGCGGGATCGACATAGAGAAAGGGTAAGATATCCAATGGAATTTCTGAGAAAATGTAGCTCAACAAATCCATTTATGCTTACCTTATGATTTCTTTACATTAAAAACATACCCACGCTGGCGCAGTACATGCAAGATCTGCTTACCATTTAAAATAAACGTAGCTATTGCGAACTTAGTAATAGTTATAGTTATACTCTGTAACTTATTAGATTTACTTATTTCCGGGTACTAGACCTATGAATTTTGAAATCTTTTATAACCAAACAATATAAGCCATCTAAAACTTAAAAAATGTTTTATAAAAAGTTACGAGAGAGGCTAACTTTTATTGAAGCACCCAACAAAAACTAATAAAAGAATCTTCAGTTTATATATATTATATTAAGCTATTAGTTAAGCCTGTACAAGAATACACAGTTCTATACCACGTATGCAATGATATTACTTATTTTCAGGTGCCCTCCTCATCTTTTAGTTCTTCGTCACACTCGCACCGCCGTCGAAGTTCTGACAGTAGCCGAAGCATTCAGAACAGCTGCTTAAAAACTAAAGAACTTAAGCTTGATCCGGATCTGTCACAAACCGTGAAAAAAGAACTGGAGCAGAGTTTCAAAGTTGAGGATGGAAACGGTCTCCAAACAAAACCAGGAGAACCAGAAGCAGGTCAAGCCCCATTACTTACCAATAACATAAAAACTGAAACTGAAGTCAAGAAGGAACCGGGCTTAGATCCACCAGCATCTATGGAAAATGGTGATGCTAAAGGAAAAACTCGTGAAGAGGTAACTAGGCAGCTAAACTTTGGTGACAAGAACTCAAGCTCGAAGCTGATGCCCTCGCCAGCACCGAAAACCTCTTCGGCATCCAATTCAACGGTGAACAATCATTCCTCAAGTAACCGCAAATCCTATACATCGTCATCCTTCACCAACCATCACAAAAGTTCCTCATCTTCTTCGTCATCCTCCTCATCGCGCCACTCGTCATCTTCATCTCGCGATTGTTCTAGATGCTACAAGCGATCGAAGATCCGACGTTCTTCTATAGGCGTGCAGTGCATACAGCCCGCACCCATCGCAGGACCCTGGCAAATGATTCAGAGCTTACCGCCGAAGCCTAACAGACCACCTCCGGCTGGCCTTGAGAACCTTAAGTATGGCAGCTACTTTCAGGTGGAGCAGTATCCAAATGGAGGAGCCTCTATTGTGCATATGTATCAGCACGAAATAGACGCCTTGGCGCCAAAAGAGATGGACGAACTGGTTGATGAGTTTTTTGAAGTTTGCTTTGCAGAAGATGAGCAGGGCTACGCCCATCACGTGATGGGTATCGTGCACGACGCCGCCCGATATCTGCCCGATCTTCTGGAGCATATGGCCGAAAATTACTCAACGTTGACCGTAAAGGCAGGAGTTCTGGGGCGCAACTCGGACATTGAGACATGCACAATGGCGCAGTATAATGAGCAAGTAAGTAAAATACTAGTTATGAAGCAAACATTATAATAATGATCCAATTTAATTTAAGGTTGTGCGGAATTATTGTCAAGGCACGTTTCGATATGGACCCTTGCATCAAATCAGTTTGGTAGGCAAAGTACACGAGGAAGTAGGCGGCTATTTTCCTGATCTTCTGGGACGAATCGAAATGAATCCATTTTTGCGAAAGGTATAATATATATTGCGCAATAAGATAAGCTTGAGGTAATGAATTTTATTCTTCAGACGATGCCTTGGGCTTGCAAGTCCATACTTCAAACAGATCCGCGGCAATCAAACGATGGACCCATTTTATGGATTCGTGCTGGCGAGCAGTTGGTGCCAACTGCAGAGCTGAATAGCAAAACACCGCTTAAGAGGCAAAGGTAAACGTTTCAACGTAAAAATGACTAACAAGAAAAATAAAATTTTTGTTTCTATTTAAATTAGAACCCGCATCAATGAGCTACGAAACCTCCAATACCTTCCCCGTTTATCAGAAGCACGAGAAACTATGATCGAAGATCGAACCAAGGCGCATGCTGATCACGTTGGCCATGGACACGAACGTATCACTACCGCTGCAGTTGGTGAGCTAACGGGGCTCCCACAATTTGTTACAAATTTCTAATCCTGCGTTATCTTCCAGGCATTCTTAAGGCTGTTCACTGCGGACAGACTTACACACAAAATCGCATCACAAAAGACGTGGTCGCATTTGCCGCTCAAGACTTCAATACAATGGTTGAAATGCTGCAGCTGGACCTGCACGAACCTCCAATCTCGCAGTGCGTTCAGTGGATTGAAGACGCCAAGCTCAACCAGCTGCGCCGTGAAGGTGTCCGCTACGCCCGCATTCAGCTATGCGATAATGATATTTACTTTCTTCCTCGAAACATTATCCACCAGTTCCGAACCGTGACGGCTGTGACAAGCATCGGTAAGTGATTTCGTTTAGCATTGTATGTTTCAAAAAGTTTGTATGTTCTTATTGCCTTGCAGCATGGCACCTGCGCCTTCGACAGTATTATCCCGACCAGGAGGTCATCAACGAAAAAAATAACCCAGTTCTGGCAGAGACACCACACTATAAAGAAAAGCAAACAATTCTTCCCAATCCAGTTGGACATGACGAATGTGGCAAAAAAACTCCATCAAAACGAGCTCACGATGGAAAGCTCAAAAAAGTTTTGATTGATCTCGACGGCAAAGAACGACGTTCTAGTGAAAGCAGTGTAGATGAGCAAACGTCTAGATGCAGTATCTCGCCGGGGCAGACTCAAAATCAGATTCAGGAGAGCAACAGTAATGAAAGTGGTGCTAGTATAACCAAAAAAAAGAACAGCAAGGATGATTCTAAAATAGATATGCGCAAAATGGTATTGGAACACAAATACAAGCTGACCAAAACGGCTGTGCAGGGAAATCATGAAAAAGATAAACCCAAAAAAAATAAGGAGAAATCAAGGGAAAAGGATAAAGAAAAAGAAAAGTCGAAGTCTAAAGATAAGGATAAGGAGAAGATTAAGGAACGAGAGCAATATAAGGAAAAGCAGACAGACAAAAAAAGCGATAACACACCTAAGAAGCATTTAACTTCAGCAAAGACCTGCTCTCTCAGTTCGCCTTCGCCTGCCAAAATCTGCCGGCTAACGAACGAAGTACCTGCTATTGCCTCAGCTGCAGCACCTGCTCCTCCAAATTCTATAAGTATTGCTGCACTACCTATTATGCCAGGATTGCCCCCGCCACTTGTGCCTCAGACCCCTTTTATCGACCGCCTGAACCAAAAACAACCCGAGATCAAGATCGAAGTGAAGATCGTATCAGATAGCAAAAGTGATAATAATACCTCCAGTCTAGCTTTAACAGAAGCATCTGTGCAGCCTTCAGTTTCCGTTGAAGACGTAGTTACCGAATTTTCTGAAGAGAGCACACCGCCCCCACAGTTGGTTGTGGATCACGAGGAGGAAGTAAGCGAGGTGTACGAGGAAGAGAATGAAGAAATAGGTATGGAACTTCCCAGCAAAACAAGTTCAAATACTATGGATCAAAAAAATCTGGCAATTTCTGCACCCATGCCTTTGCCCCAACAATCACCTCGGGAACCCGTAGCAGCTGCACAGCCTCTTTGGCCTACTGCTCAAGTTCTAAAGGTGGTTCTTCCCGCCTCTTTGAAACCAATGAGTAGATCGTCCATTGTGCCGCCTTTACCACCATTGCCGCCTTCACTAGACGTTGCACCGCCACCGCCACCCCCACCACTACCACCGTCAACCACCAAGGGCAGCAGCGTTACTGTCACATCTGTAGCCGCCACAGCAGTATCCCCACTAAAACCCACCTATAAAACCTTCAGTCTGCCATCTCATAAGATCATTATCGCAGGGACCACAGGAAGTCGAGTAACAGTTTCGAAAACTTCAAATAGTACTCCCGTAGATTTGCTAGGATCCATTATGGCCAGCATGGATAAACCCGCAGCCAGCAATTCCTAGTCTCCATTCTCATCCGCGCCCGTATCGTCGACGTCCTCGGCAACAACGCTCCTCTCCTACGTCAACTCTAACGACAGCTGCTAAAGGTTGCGACTACATAGGAGGGGAGCAGAAGTAGAGGCTCCAATTTGGACTATGTGTACTTTAAATTTAGAAACGCCCTTGACCCCGTTCAACGGACTTTAAAGGGCGGCAATCATTTTTTTTTATGCGCGTTAGGAGATTTCACTAATCAACTTGCTTTTTGTTAAAATTTGGTTAACAGCCATTAGTTATTTTCCTATTCTTTTAAATGTAGTCTTGACTAAGCGATGTTTCCTTTAGCAGTGCAAACATCTTACTTAATTGTATATAGCCCATATGCTTCTATATAGACACCTCGTACAGAAACACAACCTATATTTGATAACAGACGTAGATCTTTAAGCTTAAAATGAGAGAAACCTAAGTGAAGCATAGATTTTTTATTTATTCACATAAAAAAAACAAGAACACTATTTTAATCCTATAATGTATTTTTTAATTAAATGCACCCTTGTAATTATAAAGCTTGAATTGAAAATTTAAGTTACCGGTTTGGCGAAGGTCCCAGTTTAGTTTCTTTTTCAAGAACTTTTATTTAACTAAAAAAAAATATAAATTAAAATATATATATATATATATATATTATAAACATCATATATAAACTGTATTTATTAAGCAGCTACTTGTTCAAGAAACAATAAAGATTCGTATCATACAACATCTTAGTAAAGTCCTGTTCTAATTGTACTATAAGGAAATGTTTACAAGTAAGTATTATTGCTGAATTTACTTATTCAGTTTAGGCAAATATTAATAAAATACATATAATATAAGTAAGTAGCTCTTCAGCTTTCGGAGCATATATGTATATTTCATATTGATTGCCAACACCAAATTTCACAATAGATGAAATCCAAGGCGGATTTCGTTGCATTAAATATACCATTATTGCGTTTATTAGCATTTTTATGCCCTTGCAGAAGGTATTCCAATTTTGGTCAAAAGTGTGCGACGCAGCGAAGAAGACCTCTCCGACCCTATAACGTATATATATTCTCGATCAGGATCAGTGCGCAATGCAGTGAGGGAGACCTTTCCGAGCCTATAACGTATATATATTATCAATCAGGATCACCTCCTGAGTTGATATAAGAGTGTCCGTCGGTCTGTCTCTCCCTACCCGTACTAGTCTCTCAGTTTAAAGCTATCGACTTGAAACTGCATACACCCTCCTTTCCTTTGCACGCAGTACATAAAACAAAATGGCCGGGATCGGCCGAATATATTCTATATCTGCCGTATAACTAATTGACCCGAAATGCCATAACTTTGACATTTTTACATTAAGGAGTTAGATATATTTTAATCCCCATTTTCAAGGGATCCCATAACGAAAAATGAACAAAAAATCTAATAAATAGTTTGTCTCAGGATTTGATGCAGAATAGTGAAGAACCAATCCAGACATCATTTAAGGTACTCCGCTTGAAAATCGGATGAGAATTAGGGAAGATTTAGCCTTCCCCCATTGCCCCCTATAGGGAAAACCCCATTTTCAAGGGATACCATCACGAAAAGTGAACAAATATTCCAAAAAATAATTGGTCTCAGGATTTTGATGCAGAATGGTGGAGAATTGATCCAGAAATCGTTTAAGGTACTACGCTTGAAACCCGGATGAGAATTGGGAAAGATATAGCCATCACTGTGGGCCATATGGGAGAAAACTCTATTTGCAAGGGATGTTATAACGAAAAATGGACAAAAAATTTTAAAAATATTTTGTCTCAGGATTTTGATGCAGAATGGTGGAGAATGGATCCAGAAATCGTTTAAGGTACTCCGTTTGAAAATCGGACGATAATTGGGGAAGATTTAGCCTTCCCAGTGACCCCTTTAGGGAAAACCCCATTTTCAAGGGATACCATCACGAAAAATGAACAAATAATCCAAAAAATATTATGTAACAGGATTTTAATGCAAAATGGTGGAAAATTGATCTAAAAATCGTTCAAGATACTCCGCTTGAGAATCGGATAAGAATTGGGAAAAATATAGCAATCACTGTCGGCCATATGGGAGAAACCCCCATTTCCAAGGAATACCATCACAAAAAATGGACAAAAAATCTAAAAAATATTTTGTCTCAAGATTGTGATGCAGAATGGTGGAAAATCGATCCAGAAATCGTTTAAGGTACTCCGCTCGAGAATCGGATAAGAATTGGGAAGATAAAGTCATCACTGGGGGCCATATAAGGAAAACCCCTCTTTCCCATCGCGAAAAATGGACAAGAAATCTAAAAAAAATATTTTGTCTCAGGATTTTGATGCAGAATGGTGGAGAATTGAATCGGATGAGAATTGGGAAAGAAATAGGCATCACTGTAGGCCATATATGGGAAAACCCCAAGGGATTCAAGGGATACCATTACGAAAAATGAACAAAAAATCTAAAAAATATTTGACGCTATATTACACACTATATCATTTAGCTGCCATAAAACTGAAAACATTTTTTGGTTATTGGTAAAATGGCAACTTTAGTATTTTTGAAGATTGAATGTTGGAACTTTTTTTTTAAGTTTTGTATTCTAATAAATAGTTTTATAATAAAATTCGAATAAGGATCGGCTTATTATATGCGACAATTGCGATAAATATCCAATCTTAACGGCAAGGCTGTATCACTTCGACTCCGCCTGAAGTTAGCTTTTCCTTCTTGTCAATCTTTCCATCACTTCGGCTGCTATATATGGCTGCTAAAGGATATAATCTGGTGATCCCCATGCCGAAGACGATCCGCATATTCTAACTTAAAATACAGCCAAATTGTGGAACTTCTAGTTTATAAGATTTATATTGCATCTATAGGATACAATATCCAATGTAAATATATTGCTTAAAAACAGATGGTCAAAATTTCTTATTTTGACTAAGATCAGCAGCAGGTTAGCCGAAAGTTGTGACCTTCAAACTGCACGATAATAATGAAAAAATAAAATAGAAAAATTAATATGGGAAAAATTTGTTTGTTAGGAATCAAGTAATAATCGGCAAAGATCTGTAAAACCGTTTAGGGCCACACATGTACTTCTTTCAACTTCCAGAAAGTCCATCGAAAAAACTACAAAAAAAAAGTTATTAAACATTTTCATACCAGTTTCAATATATTTTCAATTAGAATTTACATTAGGACGGCCCCTCATTTTCAACAGACAGCACCCAAACATTTGTGCAAGGAGCAAGATCGCAAAAAACCGATTGGTGTGATATCTATACAGACATTGGTGCTTATGATGCAAGATCTCTATATCGAATAGAAAGGTAAGAAATTGCCTATGCTTAGTAAAGGTGAAAGCAGTGCTATTGCAAATGTTTACGGTTTTTCTGAATAATTTATTTGGTTTTGGAAAAGATTAAATCATATGTGCTTAGCCTAAGATTATGTGATTATTCATATAGATACTTATGAGTAAAGATGTCATACCAGCTGGAATTATAAGAATATAATGTAAATAAGCTTTTATTTTAATCTTTAGAAAAAAGCATTAAAACTAATATTACAATTTAGTTTTCGAGCATGCTTCTCCTAAGCGCCTGCTCTAGATCCGCGTCAAAACACTCTGGCTTGGAATAGTCAGCTGCAAATTTCTCCTTAGCTGAGCCCTTAGAATTGGTTTCCTTTCTTTTATTTTGATTTTCGTTTACACTGCTCCCTAAAGACGTGTTGGCGAAATCACTCGAGAAATTATGCTCTTCAAATTCTTCAAATTTGGCGAAATTCTGGTTGCCTAACTGAATAGAGTTGCTTGTCTGCAACTTATCTTTAAACCAGTTCTCATTGCAGTCATTGTAGTCCATGGCTTTGGGGTCCTCGAGCTTTTTCTCCGACGCATTCGTTACCCTGGTGGAGCTCAAACTATGGCCAAAATTTTCATTAAATGCGTCAAAGAATGAATCGTTGAGTCCCATGTTTTTATCAGTCGTGGTCGTTTTAGTGCTTGCTCCATTTTTTGTACATGCCAAAGCTTCAAAGTCATCAAAATCGGCAAACTCGTCCACCGCTGATTGTGCAGTCTTGCGGATTGGATTAAACTCAGAGTTAGAGGAAATAGTGTTTTGCAGAGGCAAAGCACCTAGGTCCAAATTGAAAGAGCCAGTTTGCTTATTCTGATCATTGTTGGGTGGTGTGGCCACCTGAAGGTTAGTTGGGTTGTTGTTGTTTAGGTTAGTGTCATAGCTCTTAGACACGCCACCAAGGTCATCTGCAATAAACGGAATCGGTAAGTAAATACAAATTTTAAATGAATACCAGTCTTTTATCACCATCTGAACTAAAATCTTCGCCAAAGTTATTCTTCTGTCCCAATCCGATATCTTTTTGCAAAACTCCTTGTTCATCATCTTCGGCAAAGGGATCCTTAATGCTAAAAGGGTCCTCGTAGCGATAGTCCTTAAAGGGATCGTCTTTAAAGTCGGTGGGTCCATTAATATGACTTAGTGGTGATTTTTTCTGCGTTTCAAACGCCCCAAAGGATTCCGAAAAATCCACATTCATAAAATTACCCTTCTGAATCGGTGTAACCCTTGCATCCGCTGCCAAAGTTAAAGATGTTTCAAATACCGATGTTGGCGCTGCTGATATGACTGAAGATAAGGATGCTTCCGGAGGCTGAGATTTTCCTGTCGATTTTTCTCGCTTTGGACTGGATGCGCCATTCGCCTGTGCCTGGCCGGAATCTTCAAGCAGCGCAAAGTTGTCGAGGAGCGGTGCCGGTTGTTGATGGGTCGTAGCAGCTTTGTGAAGCTGTGTGGGGCGCCATGCAGTAGGAGAGTTAAATTAAAATAAAACGCAATCAAATTAAAAGAAAATATACTCGAAATAAGTAAATAATAATATAAGCAAATAAGGGACCAACTAAATACGAAAAATATTTAACAAAATTCTTCAAATGTGTATAATATAGATATTTAATAAAATTGATTATGTGTATCCCAGGATTCACCAAAACCAAGGCCTCGTCATTGTTGGTGTACGTGAAGTGTATGATATATGTTATCATTTTTTTATTTGTGTTGAAAAAAACGATGTGGTTATTTAATCTTTCTCTTTTGATTATGCAGAGGCTGAACTTTTATGAAGGTTATTTCCGTAACTTACGCGTAGCGTCCCTAATCTTAATTTTAATAGTATCGCATTGAAATTCTTGTGTTGAATTTATTTATTTATTGCACATATATGTGTACTAAATTTAAAACACGAAATGTAATTTAATTAGTCATTAATGTTTTGATAAAATTATCTAATGAATATAGCTTGTATGGGTTTCAACGATTATAGTGCATCCTGTATACGTTCTTTTGTGTGATTAGACTGAGCATTTATGGTAAGTCTGATATTTTGCTCCATATAGTTGGTTTATCCAAGTTTATTTTATTTTCTTTCAATTTAAATGCTCGTTGACGAGGTCGTTTATTTATTATGTTAATAAGTACGAGTTATATCATATATATATGAAAATGGATATTTTAAGACGTTTACTGGAAATAGATTAAAATCCAGAGTTGAAAAAACAAGATGGTTAGTTTGAGTTCCAAATGTGGAAAAATCAACAATTATATAAAATGGGGTAATACCAGATGTACTTCCCACAACTAGAAAGCAAAGCAAAAAAGAAGTGTATAAAAACTCTCATATACAAGTGATCTAGTAATTAGGTGCGTCTATTTATTTTTAGAAAAACTTTTAAAATCTTAGTGAAAAGAAGTAAAAATTGAACAAAATATAATTGATACCATATTAGTCAACTATACAAAAATAGAAAAAATAAGCGTGGTGCATGCATTACCATCGATGGGTACCAACCTTATTGTCAAACTCTTCAAAATCGGCAAATCCTCCGCTGCTTCCAAAACCGGTGGCAGGCTGTTAAATGGTGAATAAATTATTAATGTTTTGAGTCTTTTAAATTGAAATTAAATACCTGTGTTGCTCTTGGTGGGGCTGGCCTTGGGGGAGGCAGCTTCGACTTCTTCGGCGGCAGTGCTGGACTAGGGGACTCTGGCCGGGGCGGCGGGCCAGACTTTCCAGAGTTGGGGCTAAGAACCTGACCCTGGCCTGTGGGTGCATGTAGAGCGGCAAACGGATCGCTGCCAAAATCGTCTTTTCCCGCCTAAGAAAAGAAAATGGTTTATATGAAATTAAAAATAATGCTTTAACACGATAAAAAAAAAATTATCAGACCTCTGGTGTTATAGCGTTTTTAGTGGAAAATGCGTCCGAACCAAAAGGATCTCGCTGCTGTGGTTGAACCAATCCAGTTCCGGATGCCCTCTGACCAAAGGCATCGAATCCACTGTCAAAGCCTGAGTTCGCGCTAAAGCTGTCATCAAAGCCAGTTGAAATAGCTGGTTTGTTAGTGGTTTGGCTAGAGAAGGGATCGCTAAAAAATCCGTTGTTTTCCTGCTTGGCCGTCATACGATTGTTTTCATCAAAAGGGTCATCTTTTGGCATTTCAATTTCTTTTGCCATTAGAAGGCGAGCCTCTTCAAAATCTGGTTCGATTTTGAGTTGGTATTCGGAAACAAGTTCAGCGTTTTGGTTGTCCATAGCGGCTCGGCATATAAGCAATGCATCAGTCATCTGGCGCTGAGTCTCCATCAGCAAAGTGACCATTGAACGGACCTGAAAATGTCGAAGAATAGTATTCAAACTATCGTATCTGAGTTTTCAAGTATACCGAGCTAATTTGCAATTGGGTACTTTGCAGGTGTTTTGTCAACTTTGACAGCTCGCGGTTGTTTAAGTCGTACTCCTTTTGCAGAGATGTTTCTTCATCCTTTAACTTTTGGAGCTCAGATCGTTTAGTGTTAAGTTCGCCTTCCTGTTCTGTGATGGTCTCTTCTTGCTTCTGGCATTGTTCACGAATTTTAGTCACCTAAAATTATTTTAGAGGTAAAAATTGTTGTAATTTGTTGGTTGTTTTTAAGTATTCAGACAAAAAACAAGTATGTTTTAGACTAGTCAACAAAGGCCACAGAAACGGAAAAATTGGTAAACTGAAACAAACCTGCTTATTAATGCCCGATATCTCAAGACATACGCTGGCCAGCACGGCCGTATTTCGTGTAACCTTAAGTGTTTGTATCGTTATTGTAAGTGTTCACCAATTATGTACATTTTAAGCCAATTGTTATCACAAGTTTGTAGAACATATGTTAAAAGAAAAAGGAAACCAAATTCAAATTTCAAAATTAAAATTAAGCAGATATCCCAGGGTAGCAAAAAAAAAAGGACCGAAAGCACCCAAAGGATTTTTATGCAACAGGTAACTACTTGAGCTTGTAGGTCGTCCAACCGCTTCTGAGCCTCGCCGCGCTGATTCTCCAGCTGCTTTAGGGTGGCCGCCAAGGTGTCCAATTCGCTCTGTCACATAAAATTGGATTAAATGGCTGAACAAAATTTTTTTTAAAAGAGATATACCTGCAGACTTCGTACTTCTCCGTTTTTAACACGCACATCTGCTTCCTTTTGGGCAATTTCTGTCTCAAGGACGCGCCGTTCGCGGGCTAGCTCTTCAATTTCATTGGATATCATCTCTAGCTCTGGATTGGTGTAAGTCGGCTTCACCTCCTGAGGTTGCAAATCCACTCCAGACACAATCGATCGCATCGATGGCGGCACCATATTGGCAGTGAGAACATGGGGCGGATCCACGCCGCGCTGCTTCCGTTCAACAAACCACATTGCCAGAGCAAACTGTTCTACAGTCAGCTTTCCAGACTGATTGGTATCGCAAAGGGCCCTAAATTAAAAAAAAAAACAAACAGTTTTAATTACAAAAGAGCGTTTCTAAATTTCATTTTTTATCTTACCAGATATCAGCCAGGCTGCGTTGAGGAATACCAGACTTAATAAATATATCCTTAACTTCCAAACCTGATACTAAACCATCCTTGTCAAGGTCCGATTGTTGAAATATTTCTTCGAACTTTTTGAGCTCTGCGGGAGTTACCACCCAGTCAGCGTTGGCCGTTACAGAGGGTGGAGCCCCAATGGGCACCAGTGGATCCGTCTGGATAAGGGGCATAGAGCTAACGGCACCCACTGGAGGAATTCGTGTCATAGGTGGAATAGCCACTGGTACAGGCGGAATCGCCGCTGGGGGTGCAATGTCTTTAGGAAAATTGGCAACAAAGCCGTCGTCCCCAAATCCATCACCACTGACAGCACGCGGAATGATAGCAGCGGAATGGAGAGGCTTAGCCGGTTGACTCCCAACAGCACCGGGCTTTTGAAGTTCTGGCGGCAGAACACTGGGAACAGTACGCTTTTGCAGTGTTTGGTAGACAAGATGCATGGCCACAATAAATTCATGTTTGTCTAGGTTACCGTCTTTGTCCTGATCGGCTAAGTCCCAGATGGTACCAAGAATATTCATCGGCAATTTTGAGTCCATTAAAACACCCTTAACTTTATTTCCGGGCAGCATGCCATTGTTTGGACTGAGGGACTCAAATAGCTGTTCGTATTTTAAACGATCGATAACCCCAATTGACCAGTCTCTGTCCGTTATGCCTCCGCTAGGTACAGGAACCGTTTGAATGCGCGACGGCATTGTTTTTGGAATTTCACCCTAAACGAGAGAACTAAGTTTAATTTAATTATGGTAAATAAAATCCTGATAAACTTACAACTTTTGGTGGGTTAGCTGTATCTACATAGATGTTGTTCATGTTGGCCACTTGACCCGCCTGCGAAAGCGACACTAACTTAAGAGCCACAAAAAATCCTGGCTTATCCAGAAAACCCTTGCCGTTTGGGTCGGAAAGATCCCATATACGGCTTAGTACCACATCGCTGAGACCAGATTTTTTTAAAAACTTGGCAGCCGTCATAGCTTCAATAGCCCCTGTTGCTTTTGGGTCAATCTGAAAAAAATAAAAATTAATAATTGGACCGACTCTTTGCTGGTTAAATTTTTTATGACAATCTTAAATATAATACCTGTTTGTAGTAGGCCTCATATACAGAGATGTGCTTGCTGCACACTTTTCCAAAGTCCAAATTCATTTTTGCGCTTTTTTACTAGGCACCACTAAGTTTTAATTTGCAAATTAACAGCTAGGGATAGCAAGCTATTTTATAACAATCGATTTTTCCTTAGATGCGGGAGGTTTCCTCAGCCCTGGAACATTTTCCTATGTCGGCAAAAAAAATAATAATTAAAAGAAATGAATCGGCACAGAATATATTGACATACTCAAATACATTGGCACTAGTAAAACAACTCAAAAAAGTATGAAGCTAGAGATATGTAGCTTGTCGTAATGTTTGTGTTTGTTTTGACTTAAAATTCTGTGTTGCTAATTTTTTCGATGTGTTATCAATAAAACAAATGTGACCAGAAATGATTGGAAAAAAAATGCTGTTAGTATTTCTTATGCACAAAAATACTATCCTTTCTTATTTCAGCTTGGCAAATCTCTGGTAACATTAACATAAAAAGTACTAAAAAAAAACGTGACATCGATAACTTAATACTAACTCAGTGCTGGCACCGATAGTCCGATGATGCGATATCATCAAAGCCAATGTGACCAGAAATATTTTAAAAAAAATACCTGATTATTTTTTTTATGCACAAAAACACTATCTTATACATTTTAGTGTATCGGTTCTCTGGCAACACTGAATTAAAAAAGTACTAGAAGACATGACATCGATATCATAATACTAAATACTAGCTGCCATCGATAGTTCTTATAAGGCGCTGATATACCATCACTCTTTACTACTACCATCTCTACACAAATACGGATTTTTAAGCGACGGCGGAAAAAACGCAACTGGTGCGTGCAAATTTAAAGATTATTTAAATAACAATAAATAAATATATCTATGCAGGAAAATGTACAGTGACATAAAGGCATGATTAAAGAAGGTCGTCTAAGAGGAATTGTGTCGATATTTGAGGTGGCAGTGTCGGGCGTTACAGTGCCGGCGCCGCAGTTACTTGTTGCCGGCTATAGTGAAAAAAAAGGACGCTGTTCCAATCAGATCCCAACTGGTTATTGCAGTTTAAGAAACACTAGAAATCAACAGGTGAGTTTTAAAATAAAGGTGGCTGCTTTCCTCATACTATTTAAATAAAAGAGTCACTATTTGCATTGTTACTAAATCAATTTTGCATTTTATTTCTTTCAGACGGCATCATGTAAGGAGAAGCTAACGCCGCAGTTTCATGGCAGCGCCGTCATTGTGGCGTCGCTATAGCAGCGCGAGGCAGTACCAGCAAATAAGCCGCAAGAAACGGATGGATGGCGCCGGCATGGTAGCGACGCCGACGACGCTGCGCATTTGTGCCTAAGAGAACGGCGCCGGCATATGACCATCTGGTTGCCAAATTGAAAGGCAAAGAAGGCGCCAGAGGGATTTGCGCCGATTTTCTATGAACTCGGCATACAAATGCCGGTGATTGGACGCAACAAATGGTAAGTTTTCTGACGAAATTTTAGCTTCGTTTTCTAATTTGTTTTTGTTTTCATTTTAGATGCTGATGGTTGCTGGCTCTGGTTTTGGGCCGCCACATAGCCGCAGCCACTGGACCAACATGGAAGGATGCCCACCCAGGGCAGAGACCCCAGACACAGATGGAGGACCCTGGGTGCTGGCCAACGTGGGATCATCGGTGGATCTACGAGGGACATCGTCGGTGGGCGGCTGCAGGCGCTGGTGCAGGGCCGCCACTAGCCACAGCCGCCGAACCCCGACCATCGTGGGACCGTCGAGGGACAGCCGGCGCCATCGCTGCCAACCCAGGCATGGCGTCGGTTGCCGCAGCAGCGCAGCTATGTCGGCAAAGCAGCGCTGCCACACACCGGCAAAGCAGCGCTGCTACACCGGCACAGCAGCGCAGCGCGACGCGATGCCAGCCAATAGGCAGGCGCAAAAGAAGAATGGACAACGCAGGCATGGTAGCGACGCCGACGACGCTGCCCATTTGTGCCTGAGGGAACGGCGCCGGCATATGATTGGACGCAACAAATGGTAAGTTTTCTGACGAAATTTTAGCTTCGTTTTCTAATTTGTTTTTGTTTTCATTTTAGATGCTGATGGTTGCTGGCTCTGGTTTTGGGCCGCCACATAGCCGCAGCCACTGGACCAACATGGAAGGATGCCCACCCAGGGCAGAGACCCCAGACACAGATGGAGGACCCTGGGTGCTGGCCAACGTGGGATCATCGGTGGATCTACGAGGGACATCGTCGGTGGGCGGCTGCAGGCGCTGGTGCAGGGCCGCCACTAGCCACAGCCGCCGAACCCCGACCATCGTGGGACCGTCGAGGGACAGCCGGCGCCATCGCTGCCAACCCAGGCATGGCGTCGGTTGCCGCAGCAGCGCAGCTATGTCGGCAAAGCAGCGCTGCCACACACCGGCAAAGCAGCGCTGCTACACCGGCACAGCAGCGCAGCGCGACGCGATGCCAGCCAATAGGCAGGCGCAAAAGAAGAATGGACAACGCAGGCATGGTAGCGACGCCGACGACGCTGCCCATTTGTGCCTGAGGGAACGGCGCCGGCATATGATTGGACGCAACAAATGGTAAGTTTTCTGACGAAATTTTAGCTTCGTTTTCTAATTTGTTTTTGTTTTCATTTTAGATGCTGATGGTTGCTGGCTCTGGTTTTGGGCCGCCACATAGCCGCAGCCACTGGACCAACATGGAAGGATGCCCACCCAGGGCAGAGACCCCAGACACAGATGGAGGACCCTGGGTGCTGGCCAACGTGGGATCATCGGTGGATCTACGAGGGACATCGTCGGTGGGCGGCTGCAGGCGCTGGTGCAGGGCCGCCACTAGCCACAGCCGCCGAACCCCGACCATCGTGGGACCGTCGAGGGACAGCCGGCGCCATCGCTGCCAACCCAGGCATGGCGTCGGTTGCCGCAGCAGCGCAGCTATGTCGGCAAAGCAGCGCTGCCACACACCGGCAAAGCAGCGCTGCTACACCGGCACAGCAGCGCAGCGCGACGCGATGCCAGCCAATAGGCAGGCGCAAAAGAAGAATGGACAACGCAGGCATGGTAGCGACGCCGACGACGCTGCCCATTTGTGCCTGAGGGAACGGCGCCGGCATATGATTGGACGCAACAAATGGTAAGTTTTCTGACGAAATTTTAGCTTCGTTTTCTAATTTGTTTTTGTTTTCATTTTAGATGCTGATGGTTGCTGGCTCTGGTTTTGGGCCGCCACATAGCCGCAGCCACTGGACCAACATGGAAGGATGCCCACCCAGGGCAGAGACCCCAGACACAGATGGAGGACCCTGGGTGCTGGCCAACGTGGGATCATCGGTGGATCTACGAGGGACATCGTCGGTGGGCGGCTGCAGGCGCTGGTGCAGGGCCGCCACTAGCCACAGCCGCCGAACCCCGACCATCGTGGGACCGTCGAGGGACAGCCGGCGCCATCGCTGCCAACCCAGGCATGGCGTCGGTTGCCGCAGCAGCGCAGCTATGTCGGCAAAGCAGCGCTGCCACACACCGGCAAAGCAGCGCTGCTACACCGGCACAGCAGCGCAGCGCGACGCGATGCCAGCCAATAGGCAGGCGCAAAAGAAGAATGGACAACGCAGGCATGGTAGCGACGCCGACGACGCTGCCCATTTGTGCCTGAGGGAACGGCGCCGGCATATGATTGGACGCAACAAATGGTAAGTTTTCTGACGAAATTTTAGCTTCGTTTTCTAATTTGTTTTTGTTTTCATTTTAGATGCTGATGGTTGCTGGCTCTGGTTTTGGGCCGCCACATAGCCGCAGCCACTGGACCAACATGGAAGGATGCCCACCCAGGGCAGAGACCCCAGACACAGATGGAGGACCCTGGGTGCTGGCCAACGTGGGATCATCGGTGGATCTACGAGGGACATCGTCGGTGGGCGGCTGCAGGCGCTGGTGCAGGGCCGCCACTAGCCACAGCCGCCGAACCCCGACCATCGTGGGACCGTCGAGGGACAGCCGGCGCCATCGCTGCCAACCCAGGCATGGCGTCGGTTGCCGCAGCAGCGCAGCTATGTCGGCAAAGCAGCGCTGCCACACACCGGCAAAGCAGCGCTGCTACACCGGCACAGCAGCGCAGCGCGACGCGATGCCAGCCAATAGGCAGGCGCAAAAGAAGAATGGACAACGCAGGCATGGTAGCGACGCCGACGACGCTGCCCATTTGTGCCTGAGGGAACGGCGCCGGCATATGATTGGACGCAACAAATGGTAAGTTTTCTGACGAAATTTTAGCTTCGTTTTCTAATTTGTTTTTGTTTTCATTTTAGATGCTGATGGTTGCTGGCTCTGGTTTTGGGCCGCCACATAGCCGCAGCCACTGGACCAACATGGAAGGATGCCCACCCAGGGCAGAGACCCCAGACACAGATGGAGGACCCTGGGTGCTGGCCAACGTGGGATCATCGGTGGATCTACGAGGGACATCGTCGGTGGGCGGCTGCAGGCGCTGGTGCAGGGCCGCCACTAGCCACAGCCGCCGAACCCCGACCATCGTGGGACCGTCGAGGGACAGCCGGCGCCATCGCTGCCAACCCAGGCATGGCGTCGGTTGCCGCAGCAGCGCAGCTATGTCGGCAAAGCAGCGCTGCCACACACCGGCAAAGCAGCGCTGCTACACCGGCACAGCAGCGCAGCGCGACGCGATGCCAGCCAATAGGCAGGCGCAAAAGAAGAATGGACAACGCAGGCATGGTAGCGACGCCGACGACGCTGCCCATTTGTGCCTGAGGGAACGGCGCCGGCATATGATTGGACGCAACAAATGGTAAGTTTTCTGACGAAATTTTAGCTTCGTTTTCTAATTTGTTTTTGTTTTCATTTTAGATGCTGATGGTTGCTGGCTCTGGTTTTGGGCCGCCACATAGCCGCAGCCACTGGACCAACATGGAAGGATGCCCACCCAGGGCAGAGACCCCAGACACAGATGGAGGACCCTGGGTGCTGGCCAACGTGGGATCATCGGTGGATCTACGAGGGACATCGTCGGTGGGCGGCTGCAGGCGCTGGTGCAGGGCCGCCACTAGCCACAGCCGCCGAACCCCGACCATCGTGGGACCGTCGAGGGACAGCCGGCGCCATCGCTGCCAACCCAGGCATGGCGTCGGTTGCCGCAGCAGCGCAGCTATGTCGGCAAAGCAGCGCTGCCACACACCGGCAAAGCAGCGCTGCTACACCGGCACAGCAGCGCAGCGCGACGCGATGCCAGCCAATAGGCAGGCGCAAAAGAAGAATGGACAACGCAGGCATGGTAGCGACGCCGACGACGCTGCCCATTTGTGCCTGAGGGAACGGCGCCGGCATATGATTGGACGCAACAAATGGTAAGTTTTCTGACGA